CCATCCTGGGTTACTGAAGAGTCGTCCGACTGCTCGGTGGACCGAATCAGAGGGGTTTTACCGCTTTCTCTTCTCTCCAGCACTCTCGGACTGATCATCTTACTGCAACAAAGCAAGCTTAGGAATGAATCTAATGGAAATTTAGGTCTCTGTCCGCTTGGAAGATTCTTCTTTCCTCTTCGGTGAAAGAGAGGGCAAAGGTGTGTGGGGAGAAAGAAGTCTAAAAGGAGAGAAGATTTCGTCCACCAAGCGGGTTTTTTTAGAGTGCGGACCCCTAAGCAATTGGAGGTTCTCGTCCATCTCTTGGGGGTCCATATCATCTGAAAACTTTCCTCTTCGATTAGCATAGCTAAGAATAGGATGACTCAGCGCAGGAAAAGTCAAGTAAGTAAGCCCCCCCTTTTGCCTTGAAAGAATTTTCTTTCGCTGCGCCCTGAATCAATCAAAAAGCTTCTTTTTTTTATTTGATTCATCCCATTAATTTGGGCGAGAGGGAGGCTGTGAGTCACCTGGGCTACGGATTTGCCGGTTGATTCTCGAAATCACCTCTTGATAAAAAAAAAAGGCCCTCGGTCCCGAAAAAAAATGAATAGGAAGCGGGGCGGGCGAGGGTCTTCATTAAAGGGGGGAAAAGAGGGGTGGGGCTTTGTTCTGGGGTGGGGCGCCTTGCGCAGCTTTAGAAAGGAGAGAATTTCAGTTCAGAAAGTCACTCTCTCCAACCTTTTCTATCTATCCTTAGAAGTTGGGCGAGATAAAGTCAATATGATATTTGCGTTGGTTTTCCAACGAAACTAAGCACTTTTTTTCTTTATCATTCGGAAGGCTCAGTCCCACACTCTGACTTCAATGATGGGAACAACCTCCGCACTCCGGCGCTCCAATGAACAACAGTTCTCCGCCTGACTTTTTTAGTTAGAATAGTGGTCGATCCCTCGGGAGTTACATTCGTAACTTAATGTTATGTTCACGCGGTGATCTTATATCCAAGAGTACTACCCTGTACGTAGTCTATGTCTGGGGAGCATACTTGACAGGAGATAGACACAGGCGGTAGAGAGGTCCCCCACTTCGATTCCTGCCCCGTTAGCATCTCCGATCCGAGATAAGGGATTACTCCGTTAGGGTCTTTTCTAGCTTAGGAGCCGGCCGGTAATGGACCCTACTTACTGTGGACCAGCTGCAGAGCTAACCCTTGTTCTATTGGTTTGGGCGGTTGCTACCAAGACGATTTCTTTATGCCCATCAAAGGACCTCGAGATGCTAATCCACGAAAACGATACGAGAAATTCGAAAGAACTCATATACGGAACGAGGGCGAACCCGTGGAAATACATCGGTTCTTACTCGTGCAAAGGAACTCTTTCTTGGCAACTTGGACAACTTATAACGAAGTTTGTCCCGCATATCACTAGGAAGATCGGAATCTTTACAAAAGGCTTTATAAAGCTTTCGTCTCAATTCATATTAGCCGCGAGCAATCTACGTTTGTGATCTCGTATATTTCGCTTCTCCGACAATCTCTTACTGAGTTTTCTCCCTCATCTTTTTGCAAAAAAGCCGCTCCACACGGTGGTAAAGTCTCATCTTGTGTGTTGGCCGAAGTGACAATAGTCACATTGAACCCTCGAATATGTTCGAAGATCTCGAAATGATCTTCCAGTTCCGGGGAGAATTCGCAAAACTCCGTTTCCATCGAGAATTGAATGGAGTTTTCCCGTATTTCGACCGGAGAATCTAAAAGAGACATTACTGTCGAGATTCTGACCGAAAAATTAGACATTCCATGCCCTCGGAGAGTGCTTTGTCGTGCTAGGTCACTGACATATCCTTTGTCTTTCTTTGACCCCAAGAATGGATTGGATCGAAACGACTTTCCTGTCGAACCCCTTTTTGTCTGTATGAATTTCTGACCGCGCGGAATCTCCATAGCCAATTTTCCATTTTTTATTATGAAATCATAGGGTGCCTTTGGTACTACTCTTATTTGACACGATCCAGGAACTTCCATAACGTTGGCGTGATTCAGTTTGAGCAACGGATCCTGACGTGATACATCTTCGTAATGAAAATTGAGTGGAAACATAGTGATTGATTGATCAAAAAAAAATTCCCTCCATACAGACAGAAAGAGAGTCTTTCCTGCACGGAGTAGTGAAGAACTATAGTGAGATGTGCTTGGTTGTTGACCAACAGAAAGCATGGGAAAAAGACCAAAGATATCATAGGCTCTCTTCTTCATGGGAGAGCGGTATACCTAAAAAAGCCCTTATTAAAGAAGATAGGCTTCAGTCATCGTCGAATAGGGGCTTTTAAAGAGCGTGACTCTTCTTTTTGAAAAAAGGTAAGACTCTTTATATACATACACAATTTTCAGTCTACTTTTCCACTCCACAAGGCATGCAAGCGCGGCCCTTCTCTTATATACGATACCATTCGCCATGGATGATACTCTTCAAAGAGACAATAACCTATTTTCTTGCAGCCTATTCTCCATCTAGTGTTCTGGCTCTAAACAGTTATATCCTCTTTGCAGTCCTTTCAGTCAGTTCCGATTCGGTTAGCTACTTAGGGTGAACCACACAGAGGCGATCTCGAACATCACTCTAAGAAACTCCAAAACGGGAGTTCAAGTTCACTTTACAATTTCCGTCATATCCAGTACCATCAATACCGGCAGAGGAAGGAGAGGTACTATCTCCCACCTGAACCTGACTCACGGTCGCTCCACGGGAAACCACCACTAGGAGACGAGGCAAGCCGAGGGTTTCGAGGCAGATATCGCCATGACACGGTAGTAGGGAACCCGGTCCTTTTAAGCAGCACTAGAGAGGGGATAGAGACTCGAGACTTCAAACTAATGTCCTTCTTCCTCTGAGCCAGGTTCCTTGTAGAGTCTATCTACTAGAGACATTAACAGTGCTCACCCGCTTGGGAAAATTCAATACTAGAATTGAACGCCCTCCATCGTACAGTTCGGCGGACACGGAAGAGCTAGTTCATAGGGCTCGTGCAGTCATGGGACCGACGGTGAAAAGCTCGGGATGATGATGGGGCTAACAACCGGTCCTCCAAGAAGCTAGATCTCTTGGATTAATTCTTTCCCTTGTAGCCAAGTCATACTCATTCCGTACGACGAAGGATTGGGCCTTCGAGGTCGGAACTCATCACATTACTGGGTAGATCAGTTGGGGATAAGGGTTCTAGTTCAATAAAGGTCCTTCTCATTATATCGAATAATAAGTTAGGCCTGTAGTGCTCCAGCGATGGGGATTCTTACTTCCTTACTGGTGCTTAGAAGCCCCCCTACTTGAGATGAACATTCATATTCTTGATTCCCTCCTGGCCTGGCTTAGCTTATATATGAGAAAGACCTGCGGGTGAGCGACTACCTGTGATAGACGAATTCGCTCCTACTTCTTAACCGACCGAATCGGGGTTTTGAACCCATGTCGAAACCAGGGAGGTTGAAGACAAAATACATTCAAATCAAAGCTAAAAATAAAATTGGAAAAGATTGGGTTGTGGAGGATGATTCGAAGTTATCCATGCTGTAAAAAAAAAAAAGCGCAAGCTTAACTTAACTCGATCATGACCTTGACTTATTGGATTCAACCCACCTGAATATCTCCTTCCCTTTCATATGGATTTTCCCTAGAGCTCTTTCTATTATAATAGAATTACTATTACTGGGCCTAAAAGACTGCTGATTTGCTCCATTCCGGTTTGCTTAATTACTGGGCGGGCCTAGCCCTCTTTCTTTGGATTCAACTGAGACGAATTGCTCGTTGACGGCTTAGATCACCACGGCATCACCTTGTAACAGAACGTGCCCTCCTACCTGATATGGTGATAAACGCTGTTTTCTCTCGGTCTTCTTTTCTTCGGCCATCTTGATCTGGTTATATCAAGAGAAAGCATCCATAAAGGACAGCATCCCGTGGTGCGCTTCGATCCGAGGGGATTATCGGGCTTAGAGGTATGGATGGTCCCCACTAAGGCTTGCCTACTGCTTTGTTACCAGAACAGGATCGATTGAATCTTTTACCAGTGCCCATGCTCCTACTCCTTTGGCTGGTGCCAAATAAAAAAAAGAAGTGGAAGCTTGCCCAGTAGGCAGTTAGATGTAACCATGCTGGCAGTACTATGATAGCCTTAGAGCTTGAAGGTCTTTTTGTTGTCCCTAGGAACGTGATGCTTAGATGCGAGGTTGAGATGACGGAAAGACAGAATAGGATAAGCAGCTGTAAACAGGGCATGCCACAGCTGTCTTGGGCTATTGTCTTCTAATACAATTACAAAGTGGTAGCAAGCAGCTCTTTAAGCAGCTGGTTTGAATCGATCAAATGTGAACTATGAGACGCTTGCATTTGCCGGGAGATTTTCTGCTCTTTTTCTGTCGTCACACCAGGGATTTGCCCCTGAAGTAGAGAGTAAGGGCTGGTCTTCATCTTGTCACCTTACCTGGAGGAATTCCTTTGATCTTCGAGCCGATTCTCACGTTTAGGTTGGTCTTTCGAATGAAAGTGTCGATTGGTTTGTGTGAAGCCACCTAATTTCACTCCTTTTATGCAGCATTTCGGCTGTAAACTCTATTACCTTTCCCAGACACTGAGGTTCGCTAGCCATCTTCCATTGACGAGTTGACACCCGCCAAGTCCTTTCGTTCGACAGAAGTAAACTTCGGGCGAAACTCCTTGCCCTTTGTTTTTCTAGTGGGCTGTTGCAGAATGAGTCTATAGTTCTGGCCTTGGGAATCTATTCGTCCCTGCGATGATGGCTGCCAGAAGCATCGTGGGGCTTGTCAAGGTACAGCTTTTCTGACGGATTTAAAAATGGAAAATCCAAGCTCTTTAGCTTTCCCCATCTGCTATAAACTATTCACCTATTTTTTTTAAGTCAAAATCGAAATGGAGCGTAACTCTGCTCATCAAAACTGGGATTTTAAGCGAAAGTTTGATCTTCCGGTACGCTTTCCCTAAGGTGTAAAAGACTTTTTAAGTTTTAGTAGTTAACAACGTTGTCAACTCGTAACCGGGGACTATAAGTCCGCCTCTCAAGACTACTCAATCCCTGCTGTATGCCTTGCTGCTGACCTTATTGAGACAATGGGAGTGCGTCTCATTTGAATAGAAAGTCTTCCGACTGAACAAAGGGAGCAGGCTAGACACTCAAAGAATTCGATACAGCGGGGGGAATGAAGGTCCCCCGATCGGATAAGACTCTATGTTTTTATGCTGACAGGGGAAACTGGCTTGCAGAGTATGTCTTTGATGACCGAATGAACGAGAAAAAATCAAATGCAGAGGGCCACCCAAAAACGGAAGCCACCTCGGGCGCCGTGAAGCTGGCTCCTTGCTTGTCTAGCTCAGCCCTAAAATACGGAGCGGAGAAGCTGGCTTTTGCACACCGGAATCGATAAGGTAGGACTTCTTCCTCCAAAACTGTTTCGGTTCGCTCCATATATGTAGTTCGTTCTCCTCGTATGTAGCTCGTACCTTTGTTTGTAAAGTCTATCTAACTCGTTCTCTCTTGGTCGAGCTTCTATGCCCCTTTACTAAGATTAGTCAAGCCGCTAATCCCCAGTCAAACCCAGCCTCTGCTTGGAGGAAGAGATCGGTTCTATTAAGGATTCGTACCCCACCATCTGGACCTCTTCAAGAACTTTTTTTATCTATTTTCCTTTCTTTGACTTTGTATAGAGTCTGACAAGCAACTGCTCCACCTTTCCTTTCAAGTAAAGGGGTGGGACTGAGCAATAGCATGTGAAGCTAGAAGACAAGGCCCATGACCAAACCTTCCTTAGACTTTTTGGTTAGGGAGGAATCCTTTTTTGTAGTAAATTGCTCATGAGCTTTGCTTGCAACCGATGTCCGCCTTGAAAGGGCTTGCGCCATAAGTACTAAGGGAGGCTCCCTTCCGATCCAGGCTCGGTCCTTCTTTGCTTTTCTTAATGGATTGCCAAATCTTAATAGAATTTCCATGCTCTAATCAACAAAAGGAGCGACCAATGAAAAGAGAGTGACAAGTTCTAGGGCGAAGGACTAGGATCCTGGGCTTTTGAACATCAAGCTTGTGCGCATCCCTTCCTCTATTGAGTAAGTAATAAATAAATAAATAAATAACCAGACTCTTACAAGTAAGTAAGAAATTCCCCCTCTCTCTTCATCAAATGGTAAAATAAAATCCTCTGTGGAGTTCGCTAAAGCCCTGGTTCTATCAAAGCAGACTCTTCCACCCGAGGGTTAAGAAGGGTATAGCTCAATTACCCGCTTCATCCCTCTCTCTCTCTTTTATCTAGTTATCTAGCTACTTATTTGACTGACGCAGCTACTCAATTTCTTTCTCTAGCGACTCTAGCTGCTGCTCTAACTCCTTTAGGAAAAAGTCTTGCATCTCGCCCAACTCCTACAAAGCCCACCCCCGAGGGAGAAAAGGAAAACCACCTAACTAGGCTACTCTAACCCATGGACCTTTCCTCCTTCTTTACAGTAAGGAAGGCACTCACCTTTTGTTTGACAAGCGTGATGGAAAGGTGAAAGCCATCGCAAGATGGATGCTTGCGCTTTTCTCGCTTGTTGAGTCTCGGACGCTATTCTGTCCCAGGTACCTCTACCTACCGTTTGAGATCGTTTTGGTATTCCAATCCGTCTGTCTTCTTTGTAGGACCCTCGCTCCAACCTTAAACTTAAAAAATCTTCCTCTTTTTGTTGTTTTAGGTTGGAGTGCTTTATCGAACGAAGCCATGAAAAGACCTACGTATCTCGATGGAATTGGCCAATCACCAAGGGCGATGTTAGGTTAGCATTCTTTTAGAACGAATAGAACGAACTCGAGTTCAGTTCCTTGCTCTAGCTTTCTCCCTTCTCGACCAGACGAAGGAGATATGAATTCATATCAGGCGGGTAAGGGCTTGGCTTGACTCTGTGTTCTCTCCTGGTCGGGTCGGAGGCGAAGACTGGCAAAGTTCATCATTCAGTGGTGGGGTGTTCATAGAAAAGAGGGCGTCGCCCAACGAGTGGCAGATTTGGATGGAGTCTCGCTCATAGATAGAGGAAGAGTACGCGCGCTAGCGCGCTACGGCTTACGCAGTTGATCGGATCAGATAGCCCTTCGGTTGGTTGCCCAACCGCACATAAAATTCCGATCAACAACTTGGAGGTATGGCTGAGTGGCTTAAGGCATTGGTTTGCTAAATCGACATACAAGAAGATTGTATCATGGGTTCGAATCCCATTTCCTCCGGCACGGAAGTGGAACGGGCGGGCGAAATTACGTGAGAGAAAGAACCTCTTGGTGTTGGTGGAGTCCCCCGGAGGACAGAATAGCACTACTTAGTTACTAGGAGCGGAGAGCCCGTTGCGCGTTGTTTTGACCGGCCTGCCTATCTTCTTTTTATATTAATTATAAGCAAGCTCCCTCCGGCAGTCCCTGGGCGGCTCTCGGTTCTTTAGCATGTTGGGAGAGGAGATTAGGCGGCAGTTGAAAGAGCTGCTCGAAAGCTTGACGAACGAAAAAATATAGGGCTTTCTTTTTATGAGTAAAGGGCTTTTCCCTTACTAGTAAAGTGGTAAGTAAGGTAGGGCGCTATTCGATGAAGAAAAGAGACTGACTTTAGGAAAGTGGTTCAGGTAGCTCAGCTGGTTAGAGCAAAGGACTGAAAATCCTTGTGTCAGTGGTTCGAATCCACTTCTAAGCGGGCTTTGGGTCCAAAGGGGACGACAGGTAGTTTAAGAAGAGCGAGCCGGATTTTTTTAAATTCAAGATCAAGAGGAAGCCAAAAAAAAATGTGAGCGCTCCTGCACTATACGGCTTTTTGGCGTCGCCCTATCTTGCTGGAGGCAGATTTTATAAAAAAAGCGGTTGATTACTCGGATTGGTTCTCGCGTCCCTGATTTGACCCCAAAAGGATGGGCGAGTTCGGTTCGAGTCTTCATCGATCGGGTGGATCTATATGCTGAGGGGGGTGAGACGAGGTGTAGCGCAGTCTGGTCAGCGCATCTGTTTTGGGTACAGAGGGCCATAGGTTCGAATCCTGTCACCTTGATGTGAGGTAGTAAAGACCTAAAGAGCACCCATCAACCCGTAAACTTTCGCTCTTTTAGAAAGAAGAAAATAGACCGCCCTTGATCTGGGCGGGATCTAAAGCAGCATTTCTTCCTAGGTTTTTTCTCGGGGGCAAGCCTTAGGTTCAATTCTTTCTTGCCTATAGTCATCTTACCTTCTTCTGATTCCGAGGAGTGAAACTGCATTTCAGTAGTATCTAATTCACGTAACGTAAGAAAAGAGAATCAGTCTGCATGCTTAACAGCCTTCCTTGTCTGAATCCCTTTTTATGTAAATGTAAAAAAAAAAGGAGGCTCCCTCATGGGTCTTTGGGGCTATGAGCAAGAACCACATTCCTTAAAGAAAGTATACCCGAAAGCACTTTATCTAGAATGGGTCAATCAATCAGTAAGTTGCTGACATTGAAGAGATTCAAGTCGATGCTTCCACTGGCGAATTCTAGTCCTAGGTTCTCCCAATATAGTTGAGTTCCAATACCTTTTTCCCGAAAAGCAATCAGCTTAGATCGAACAATAAACATTCGGGATCCTGAAAACTACTGCCGCCACGCCCCCTGTCCATTATAGCTGACAAGATAAGCACATTGATCATGGAGTCACCATCGACTCTCAAATTGGAAATCAAGCTGAACTCGCTTAGCAGTTTGAGCCGTCTTTCAGATAAGAGGGCAGTGATCTGACCCAGGATCATGGAAAACCTGCGCTGCGCTTGAGGGAACAGAAGGCGCCACTCAGCCGTTGCTAGCGCACGATCAAGCCGAATGCGAACATTTGCTTCCCCAGGTCTGACATTACACCGTGTGAAAGGAGTTCCTTTGAAGCCCAGATCAAGAAAGCAACAATCATTTAGGAATTGTTTGAAACTCCTCGTCTGGGAAAGAGTGACTGCCCTTAGACCATCTTTCTAAGCACTGGAAGCAACCAAAAGAGGTTTCAATCACCAACAGCCAGCCAGGGAAGTTGTAATGAGAACCCTAACTGAGTAATCAGTTCCAAGACTCTTCTTCTTTTAGCCTTAATTTTATCCCCACGGACACAAGTAAGATGCCATTCATAAGACCGACCCCGAAGAGACGAGTTGACCACCAAATCCAAAAAGTATATTGATTGACCCTAAAGTTGGATAGAAAGAGAACTGTCCGTCCACAGAGCCAAACCACTTGACCGACCAACCGGGTCCACATAAACCTTATTTTTTAATCCCAAACGATTCCTCCATCTCTCCAGTTTATATTGAAAATTCAAAGTTATTTTCCTGTTTTTGGCAAATTGGATGTTCAGATGCTTATTGGGTTCCACTGTTGGTTTATCTGGAAAAGTCGGTGTGCTTTGTTGTTTGAGAATGTGAACCAGGACCCTCTTGCTATTGCCCACGGAGCTATTAGAAGTTATACTGAATGGAAGCCCAGGAGTTGCATTCTTTAATCGCCCGACCCTCCAAGACTTGAATCAGGAAGAGCTTTTATATACTATGCTGCCTTTTGCCTTGCGCTTGGTCTTTTTTCTTTATTGCCTTCGCCTGTACAACTACATTTATTAAGGGCTTGTTTTGTCTGATCAAGCAAGCGTTTAATCTCCTCCTCGCTTACCTTTCTGGGTCTTTTTTTCAGAAGTTCTTTACTTTATGTTGATGTCATCGAAGCTACAACAATCAAGGCTGGGCCTTTTATTGCTCTTCTCTTGTCCCCTCGGGTTATTAAAGCGGTGGAACTGGAAAACTATCAATGCTTTTCTCCCTGTCTTTCCACTTATATAATTAAAAAGAAATTCATCTCTTCATCGGATACGTCTTCTTCCGTGATCCATTTCATGAATCATTAGAGTGCGCGTTGCGTGAGGAGTTAAGGGCTATTCCAGTCGATTGATCCTCCGCTTCCGATTCCTCTTCCGATTCCTCTTCCGATTCCGCTTCTGGCCGTCTCGCTCCTATCGCTTTGTTGGCTGACAGCCCCTATCGCTAATCAGAGAGAGGTAGCGAATCGAATTAAGTGGCGGCCTTGAGCTCTTCTTCTTTTAGCCCTCTTCTCTGAGTCCGCAGCTATTCCATCTGGTGGTATACTAGAGTCGATAGGCCTGCCTAAAGGCTGCTCTTCTGCCTTACCCTTAAGTAAGGGCGGTGGAACTCTTATACTTCCTTTATCCGCTATCGCTATGTCATTTCGTTGGGTAAGCAGTAGAACTCGTTGCCCTTTCTTCCACGCTAGAAGTGAAAGCCCAGCCAAGTTCTTGGAGAATCTATAGTTTCTGGTGTTGGGCGAGATGGGGAGAAAACTCCACTCCTTGCTTCAGCCCTTCTTCTCCCACAGACAGACCTGGGTGGGGATCTCTACTCGAATAGAAGGCGCGAACTCATCGATGCTATGACAGCCCTTCCTTGCCTGAAAGCTGCTGTTTTCTCAGGTCGAGTTGAGGGCTTGAGCTTCTATGATTCCTGTATTCTTGCTTTTTTTTTTTCCGGCTGTCTTCTTTCTTTAACAAAAATAAAGGCCAGTTCTTGTCTAATCGATTTAGGCTCCTTCCTCTTATTATGGTGGAGCTGCCACTGATTGACTAACCTCAGTCAGGATCTCTGATCCCTACGACATGATCTCAGGTGATCCCTCTCCATATAGTATAAAAGCTCGAGCTTCTCCACTGCTCGATTTCACAAGTAATTGAGTGGCTGAGCTATAGCTGCTTGAATAAAAGACAGGCTTTTTCAACTCCATCGAAGCCGGAACCAGTGCTATCGGAGGGCAACCGTCGCTACTCCTTCTCCGCCGTTGACTGATCTGATGACCTTAAATGCCTAGGTCCTTCTTACATGGACTTGAAGTTCCGTGCTTGAAGTGAAGCTGGAACGAGTTCTTTCATAGCCCTATCCCGAGGATAGAAGGTTTAATTCTACTCTGCTGCTGACTTAGCTCGTCCTATCTAATCCCTTTCCTTTCTTTTTATTAAAAAAAAAGGGGGCTTGAGTGGACAATTCTGTACCTATTGGTCAAGTGGTTAACGCTCCTTCTTATGCTTTTCCTTATTCGGAAATTAAAAGATTTACCTTGTTTGTTCACCGGGTTCATACTCAGAGAAGTATGCCACGTATGTCCTTCTTGGTCTCTTTCTTTGTGGCCAGGGGAAGTCGCATGAATAAGGCAAGATACAAAAGTAAGATGCCCCACTAGTCTGATTTTATTGATCACTAGCCCTTACTTACTCTCAGTCACTGATTCAAGAACGAATACCGAGACAGCCGTTCCCTTGCCGGTCTACTGCCTGATGGCTTGACATCGCTAAAGAATCAGTAATTGAAAGCAAGAGCTAAGAATCAATAAATGGAAAGAAAGTACCAATTGGATTGGCAATGTGCGCTCAAACCTGCTACTAGTCTCTGTGATCACTTATCTAATTTCAGTAACCATCATTCCGCCAGTGAATGTGTAGCGAAAGAAGGGAAAATCACTACCCTTTCTGATACATCTGACTGGTTTACTTTCAATCAATCTTCAGAGCACAGAGGGAATTACCCACACCGAACAGCATGTGTTAAGCATTTCGTTTAGGCAAATAAGAGCTCGCATAGCTTCTCTAATCTCCATCATCTTATCTAGCCTTTCTTCGGGAATAGCGGGACGGGTTCCCTATCTTACGAGCAACTATATACAATCCTAAAGGGGAAAGCTTCTCTCGAATGTATGAAGGAGAAGAGATACCCGAAGGCATATTTTCATAAGCATTTCCTACCCCGCCTGAAGCTAGCATATACCCGCCATGGCGAAGAGGCCATATGTTGCAGAGGTGTGTCGAGGCCTGCTACGCAGAGGCTCACAGGGAAGAAAGAAGGGCAAGTTCACCTTGATAGCTATAATGGACAGGGGGCATGGCGGCCGTGGTCCTTTTCCCCTGCAATGAAGGGCGGAGGATGATGATGAGGATTGACTCACTGATTAAGACGCCATGAGTAAAGATGAGTAAGAGGTTTTTAGTTCGAGTTGGAGTGGAAGCAGTGAAGGAGGCGAGTTCCCTAACCTACGCGAGCCTAAAGAGAAGAGAGTTCAGTCTACGAAGGGTTCGGGTTCTCAGTCCGGATCATGGAAAACCCACGCAGGCCCTTTCGGAGAGGTCTCACGGGGAAAGAGACAAGGAGGAAGAAGGGGGCACTACGGGAAGAGCATCCCTGCGCAACGACATAAATCGCGCCACTTGAAGTGCGTGCTTTACTTTGACTATCGGGCATGAAAATCTCGCTTTCTTTCTAGTACCGTCTGTGATCAAAGATCGTTCCGGATTCGTCGGTCAGGAGTGAATCAGGCTTTGGGGGTCGGTAAGAACCATCAACTAAACTAATAAGGCTAGCGCTTTCGACTTGGACTAAAGGGCAAAGCTCCCCCTCTGCAGCAAGATAAGGCCTTGGTGATGGCTGAAATCCGCATGCATTTTGAAGAAAGAATGGCATCACCGACTCTCTACCATCGACCCTATTCTCTCACGTAGGATCACCAACCATGGCCCCAACCCCTTAACTAATAGATGCAAGGGTTCATGACTGGGCTAAATGCATATGGATCGGAAGAAGGATCCGGATGCCTTGCATATCGCCCACAAATGCTTTATAAAGTCTTAAGCAGAAGAAGAGGAAGAACGAAGCTTTCCACTTATCAATTCTTCTATTCGGAGGTCGTACGAATGAGGAGAGCAGCAGCTACTTCTTGACTTTCAACCTACGACCGAAGTCAAGGACTTGACTGGACAGACTGATTGAGAGACAGACCAGGCTACTTTCTATTCTATAAAGAAGAGACCTTATTTATTTCCTTATGATAGGCCCACAGGATAGAAAAGTAGATCGTTCAACTCTAGCTTCTGTTTTCAGGTCCCACATTGAATCTCAAATCGATCTTTGCTACATGCTGCTTAAGACATTGAATTCGAAGAAAGAGAGAGTGAGCAGCTGACTTGCAACCTAGGACCTAGGGGCAGGAAAGAGGATCTTACCCCAAGACTGACTTTTCACTATGCATTCATTACTGGCCAGCCAGCCAAGATCGGCTGTTCGCGGTCCGGTTTTGAAAGCGGAAGGGAAGAAAAGCAAAGAAGGTGGGCGCGTAAACAATTGATTGGCGCTTACTAGAGCCTTTCCGTGCTTGTTGGATGGGTTGGATTATAGGCTGGCCTGGCTAGCTATCCGTGCTCCCTGTCGTCAAAAAGAGCAGGGATTGGCTTTATTTGACAATTAGCTGGAAGTCGGGTATGCCTATTCAACATAAACAAAGGCGCTGGGTAGATCGTAGATTGCCGGGTATGAATTAGATTATAAGTCGGAGAATGCCCATGAAGAGGGTCTTATTAGAGAATATGCTGTTTTGAAAGTAGCCCTAGACAGATCATTGCTAAGAGGAAAGCAGGGAAGAAGAGACAGGCTGACTTACTGAAGCAAGGACTAGCAGCGCGTCTTGTCCAATGCCTCAGTAAGTCCAAAGCAAGAAAAGGGGAATGCTTAATGAATTTTATGCCAAATAGGCTAACGAACGTCTTCATTCCCTCGGATCACTGAATTACCTTAACCGAGCGGGGTAAGATTACACTCTTCTCCGCATGCTCAGTCTTCATATCATTTTATAACCACTTTTTCTGTGACATTCATAGAGTGAATTGCAAAAAAAAATGGGGTTTTATCTCTATTTCTATTATATTTCCACAGCTTCATGCCAAAACCTTCACGTCTTACTTAATGAATGCCTTACCTTCATGCCTTTCGAGTCGGAGCCGGAATCGGAATCGGAATCGGAGAGGAAATCCAAGGGAAGTGAGCGACCAAATCGTCTGCATGCGAGAATCGTCTTCTCTGCCTTAACCAATGTGAGGAGGCAAATCCATGATTGTATTAGAATTCAAAAGAAATGCTTAGAAGTACCGCAAATATCCCCGATAATACGATAATGGGGTATTCTCTTAGCCACCCATTGGAAGTAAGTAGGGGAATTGGGATTAAACAGGTAGAAGTGAAGTGCTTTAAAAGGTTTTTTGTCTAATGGCTGCTGCTAAGCCTTTTAACTCCCAATACCTACTTCCAATGGGCAAGAGAATACCCCATTATCGTAGATCGGGATATTGCGGTACTTCTAGCATTTCTTTGAATTCAAACAATCAGGATTGCCTCCTCACATTGGTAAAGGCAGAGAAGACGATTCAGCGCATGCAGACGATTTGGCGCATCAATTCCTTGATTCCTCTTCCGATTCCGATTCCGATTCCGGGCTCGACTCGAAGGCATGAAGGTAAGGCATTCATTAAGTAGAGCGTGAAGGTTTGGCATAAGCTGTGGTAAATAGAATAGAAATAGAGATAAACCCATTTTTTTTGCAATTCACTCTATGAATGTCACAGAAAAAGTGGTTCATAAAATAGATATGAAGACTGAGCATGCGGAAAGAGTGTAATCTTACCCGCTCTGTTAAGGTAATTCAGTGATCCGAGGGAATGAAAGACGTTCGTTAGCCTATTTGGCATAAAATTCATTAAGCATTCCCCTTTCTTGCTTTGGACTTACTGAGGCATTGGACAAGACGCGCTGCTAGTCCTTGCTTCAGTAAGTCAGCCTGTCTCTTCTTCCCTGCTTTCCTCTTAGCAATGATCTGTCTAGGGCTACTTTCAAAACAGCATATTCTCTAATAAGACCCTCTTCATGGGCATTCTCCGACTTATAATCTAATTCATACCCGGCAATCTACGATCTACCCAGCGCCTTTGTTTATGTTGAATAGGCATACCCGACTTCCAGCTAATTGTCAAATAAAGCCAATCCCTGCTCTTTTTGACGACAGGGAGCACGGATAGCTAGCCAGGCCAGCCTATAATCCAACCCATCCAACAAGCACGGAAAGGCTCTAGTAAGCGCCAATCAATTGTTTACGCGCCCACCTTCTTTGCTTTTCTTCCCTTCCGCTTTCAAAACCGGACCGCGAACAGCCGATCTTGGCTGGCTGGCCAGTAATGAATGCATAGTGAAAGTCAGTCTTGGGGTAAGATCCTCTTTCCTGCCCCTAGGTCCTAGGTTGCAAGTCAGCTGCTCACTCTCTCTTTCTTCGAATTCAATGTCTTAAGCAGCATGTAGCAAAGATCGATTTGAGATTCAATGTGGGACCTGAAAACAGAAGCTAGAGTTGAACGATCTACTTTTCTATCCTGTGGGCCTATCATAAGGAAATAAATAAGGTCTCTTCTTTATAGAATAGAAAGTAGCCTGGTCTGTCTCTCAATCAGTCTGTCCAGTCAAGTCCTTGACTTCGGTCGTAGGTTGAAAGTCAAGAAGTAGCTGCTGCTCTCCTCATTCGTACGACCTCCGAATAGAAGAATTGATAAGTGGAAAGCTTCGTTCTTCCTCTTCTTCTGCTTAAGACTTTATAAAGCATTTGTGGGCGATATGCAAGGCATCCGGATCCTTCTTCCGATCCATATGCATTTAGCCCAGTCATGAACCCTTGCATCTATTAGTTAAGGGGTTGGGGCCATGGTTGGTGATCCTACGTGAGAGAATAGGGTCGATGGTAGAGAGTCGGTGATGCCATTCTTTCTTCAAAATGCATGCGGATTTCAGCCATCACCAAGGCCTTATCTTGCTTGCAGAGGGGGAGCTTTGCCCTTTAGTCCAAGTCGAAAGCGCTAGCCTTATTAGTTTAGTTGATGGTTCTTACCGACCCCCAAAGCCTGATTCACTCCTGACCGACGAATCCGGAACGATCTTTGATCACAGACGGTACTAGAAAGAAAGCGAGATTTTCATGCCCGATAGTCAAAGTAAAGCACGCACTTCAAGTGGCGCGATTTATGTCGTTGCGCAGGGATGCTCTTCCCGTAGTGCCCCCTTCTTCCTCCTTGTCTCTTTCCCCGTGAGACCTCTCCGAAAGGGCCTGCGTGGGTTTTCCATGATCCGGACTGAGAACCCGAACCCTTCGTAGACTGAACTCTCTTCTCTTTAGGCTCGCGTAGGTTAGGGAACTCGCCTCCTTCACTGCTTCCACTCCAACTCGAACTAAAAACCTCTTACTCATCTTTACTCATGGCGTCTTAATCAGTGAGTCAATCCTCATCATCATCCTCCGCCCTTCATTGCAGGGGAAAAGGACCACGGCCGCCATGCCCCCTGTCCATTATAGCTATCAAGGTGAACTTGCCCTTCTTTCTTCCCTGTGAGCCTCTGCGTAGCAGGCCTCGACACACCTCTGCAACATATGGCCTCTTCGCCATGGCGGGTATATGCTAGCTTCAGGCGGGGTAGGAAATGCTTATGAAAATATGCCTTCGGGTATCTCTTCTCCTTCATACATTCGAGAGAAGCTTTCCCCTTTAGGATTGTATATAGTTGCTCGTAAGATAGGGAACCCGTCCCGCTATTCCCGAAGAAAGGCTAGATAAGATGATGGAGATTAGAGAAGCTATGCGAGCTCTTATTTGCCTAAACGAAATGCTTAACACATGCTGTTCGGTGTGGGTAATTCCCTCTGTGCTCTGAAGATTGATTGAAAGTAAACCAGTCAGATGTATCAGAAAGGGTAGTGATTTTCCCTTCTTTCGCTACACATTCACTGGCGGAATGATGGTTACTGAAATTAGATAAGTGATCACAGAGACTAGTAGCAGGTTTGAGCGCACATTGCCAATCCAATTGGTACTTTCTTTCCATTTATTGATTCTTAGCTCTTGCTTTCAATTACTGATTCTTTAGCGATGTCAAGCCATCAGGCAGTAGACCGGCAAGGGAACGGCTGTCTCGGTATTCGTTCTTGAATCAGTGACTGAGAGTAAGTAAGGGCTAGTGATCAATAAAATCAGACTAGTGGGGCATCTTACTTTTGTATCTTGCCTTATTCATGCGACTTCCCCTGGCCACAAAGAAAGAGACCAAGAAGGACATACGTGGCATACTTCTCTGAGTATGAACCCGGTGAACAAACAAGGTAAATCTTTTAATTTCCGAATAAGGAAAAGCATAAGAAGGAGCGTTAACCACTTGACCAATAGGTACAGAATTGTCCACTCAAGCCCCCTTTTTTTTTAATAAAAAGAAAGGAAAGGGATTAGATAGGACGAGCTAAGTCAGCAGCAGAGTAGAATTAAACCTTCTATCCTCGGGATAGGGCTATGAAAGAACTCGTTCCAGCTTCACTTCAAGCACGGAACTTCAAGTCCATGTAAGAAGGACCTAGGCATTTAAGGTCATCAGATCAGTCAACGGCGGAGAAGGAGTAGCGACGGTTGCCCTCCGATAGCACTGGTTCCGGCTTCGATGGAGTTGAAAAAGCCTGTCTTTTATTCAAGCAGCTATAGCTCAGCCACTCAATTACTTGTGAAATCGAGCAGTGGAGAAGCTCGAGCTTTTATACTATATGGAGAGGGATCACCTGAGATCATGTCGTAGGGATCAGAGATCCTGACTGAGGTTAGTCAATCAGTGGCAGCTCCACCATAATAAGAGGAAGGAGCCTAAATCGATTAGACAAGAACTGGCCTTTATTTTTGTTAAAGAAAGAAGACAGCCGGAAAAAAAAAAAGCAAGAATACAGGAATCATAGAAGCTCAAGCCCTCAACTCGACCTGAGAAAACAGCAGCTTTCAGGCAAGGAAGGGCTGTCATAGCATCGATGAGTTCGCGCCTTCTATTCGAGTAGAGATCCCCACCCAGGTCTGTCTGTGGGAGAAGAAGGGCTGAAGCAAGGAGTGGAGTTTTCTCCCCATCTCGCCCAACACCAGAAACTATAGATTCTCCAAGAACTTGGCTGGGCTTTCACTTCTAGCGTGGAAGAAAGGGCAACGAGTTCTACTGCTTACCCAACGAAATGACATAGCGATAGCGGATAAAGGAAGTATAAGAGTTCCACCGCCCTTACTTAAGGGTAAGGCAGAAGAGCAGCCTTTAGGCAGGCCTATCGACTCTAGTATACCACCAGATGGAATAGCTGCGGACTCAGAGAAGAGGGCTAAAAGAAGAAGAGCTCAAGGCCGCCACTTAATTCGATTCGCTACCTCTCTCTGATTAGCGATAGGGGCTGTCAGCCAACAAAGCGATAGGAGCGAGACGGCCAGAAGCGGAATCGGAAGAGGAATCGGAAGAGGAATCGGAAGCGGAGGATCAATCGACTGGAATAGCCCTTAACTCCTCACGCAACGCGCACTCTAATGATTCATGAAATGGATCACGGAAGAAGACGTATCCGATGAAGAGATGAATTTCTTTTTAATTATATAAGTGGAAAGACAGGGAGAAAAGCATTGATAGTTTTCCAGTTCCACCGCTTTAATAACCCGAGGGGACAAGAGAAGAGCAATAAAAGGCCCAGCCTTGATTGTTGTAGCTTCGATGACATCAACATAAAGTAAAGAACTTCTGAAAAAAAGACCCAGAAAGGTAAGCGAGGAGGAGATTAAACGCTTGCTTGATCAGACAAAACAAGCCCTTAATAAATGTAGTTGTACAGGCGAAGGCAATAAAGAAAAAAGACCAAGCGCAAGGCAAAAGGCAGCATAGTATATAAAAGCTCTTCCTGATTCAAGTCTTGGAGGGTCGGGCGATTAAAGAATGCAACTCCTGGGCTTCCATTCAGTATAACTTCTAATAGCTCCGTGGGCAATAGCAAGAGGGTCCTGGTTCACATTCTCAAACAACAAAGCACACCGACTTTTCCAGATAAACCAACAGTGGAACCCAATAAGCATCTGAACATCCAATTTGCCAAAAACAGGAAAATAACTTTGAATTTTCAATATAAACTGGAGAGATGGAGGAATCGTTTGGGATTAAAAAATAAGGTTTATGTGGACCCGGTTGGTCGGTCAAGTGGTTTGGCTCTGTGGACGGACAGTTCTCTTTCTATCCAACTTTAGGGTCAATCAATATACTTTTTGGATTTGGTGGTCAACTCGTCTCTTCGGGGTCGGTCTTATGAATGGCATCTTACTTGTGTCCGTGGGGATAAAATTAAGGCTAAAAGAAGAAGAGTCTTGGAACTGATTACTCAGTTAGGGTTCTCATTACAACTTCCCTGGCTGGCTGTTGGTGATTGAAACCTCTTTTGGTTGCTTCCAGTGCTTAGAAAGATGGTCTAAGGGCAGTCACTCTTTCCCAGACGAGGAGTTTCAAACAATTCCTAAATGATTGTTGCTTTCTTGATCTGGGCTTCAAAGGAACTCCTTTCACACGGTGTAATGTCAGACCTGGGGAAGCAAATGTTCGCATTCGGCTTGATCGTGCGCTAGCAACGGCTGAGTGGCGCCTTCTGTTCCCTCAAGCGCAGCGCAGGTTTTCCATGATCCTGGGTCAGATCACTGCCCTCTTATCTGAAAGACGGCTCAAACTGCTAAGCGAGTTCAGCTTGATTTCCAATTTGAGAGTCGATGGTGACTCCATGATCAATGTGCTTATCTTGTCAGCTATAATGGACAGGGGGCGTGGCGGCAGTAGTTTTCAGGATCCCGAATGTTTATTGTTCGATCTAAGCTGATTGCTTTTCGGGAAAAAGGTATTGGAACTCAACTATATTGGGAGAACCTAGGACTAGAATTCGCCAGTGGAAGCATCGACTTGAATCTCTTCAATGTCAGCAACTTACTGATTGATTGACCCATTCTAGATAAAGTGCTTTCGGGTATACTTTCTTTAAGGAATGTGGTTCTTGCTCATAGCCCCAAAGACCCATGAGGGAGCCTCCTTTTTTTTTTACATTTACATAAAAAGGGATTCAGACAAGGAAGGCTGTTAAGCATGCAGACTGATTCTCTTTTCTTACGTTACGTGAATTAGATACTACTGAAATGCAGTTTCACTCCTCGGAATCAGAAGAAGGTAAGATGACTATAGGCAAGAAAGAATTGAACCTAAGGCTTGCCCCCGAGAAAAAACCTAGGAAGAAATGCTGCTTTAGATCCCGCCCAGATCAAGGGCGGTCTATTTTCTTCTTTCTAAAAGAGCGAAAGTTTACGGGTTGATGGGTGCTCTTTAGGTCTTTACTACCTCACATCAAGGTGACAGGATTCGAACCTATGGCCCTCTGTACCCAAAACAGATGCGCTGACCAGACTGCGCTACACCTCGTCTCACCCCCCTCAGCATATAGATCCACCCGATCGATGAAGACTCGAACCGAACTCGCCCATCCTTTTGGGGTCAAATCAGGGACGCGAGAACCAATCCGAGTAATCAACCGCTTTTTTTATAAAATCTGCCTCCAGCAAGATAGGGCGACGCCAAAAAGCCGTATAGTGCAGGAGCGCTCACATTTTTTTTTGGCTTCCTCTTGATCTTGAATTTAAAAAAATCCGGCTCGCTCTTCTTAAACTACCTGTCGTCCCCTTTGGACCCAAAGCCCGCTTAGAAGTGGATTCGAACCACTGACACAAGGATTTTCAGTCCTTTGCTCTAACCAGCTGAGCTACCTGAACCACTTTCCTAAAGTCAGTCTCTTTTCTTCATCGAATAGCGCCCTACCTTACTTACCACTTTACTAGTAAGGGAAAAGCCCTTTACTCATAAAAAGAAAGCCCTATATTTTTTCGTTCGTCAAGCTTTCGAGCAGCTCTTTCAACTGCCGCCTAATCTCCTCTCCCAACATGCTAAAGAACCGAGAGCCGCCCAGGGACTGCCGGAGGGAGCTTGCTTATAATTAATATAAAAAGAAGATAGGCAGGCCGGTCAAAACAACGCGCAACGGGCTCTCCGCTCCTAGTAACTAAGTAGTGCTATTCTGTCCTCCGGGGGACTCCACCAACACCAAGAGGTTCTTTCTCTCACGTAATTTCGCCCGCCCGTTCCACTTCCGTGCCGGAGGAAATGGGATTCGAACCCATGATACAATCTTCTTGTATGTCGATTTAGCAAACCAATGCCTTAAGCCACTCAGCCATACCTCCAAGTTGTTGATCGGAATTTTATGTGCGGTTGGGCAACCAACCGAAGGGCTATCTGATCCGATCAACTGCGTAAGCCGTAGCGCGCTAGCGCGCGTACTCTTCCTCTATCTATGAGCGAGACTCCATCCAAATCTGCCACTCGTTGGGCGACGCCCTCTTTTCTATGAACACCCCACCACTGAATGATGAACTTTGCCAGTCTTCGCCTCCGACCCGACCAGGAGAGAACACAGAGTCAAGCCAAGCCCTTACCCGCCTGATATGAATTCATATCTCCTTCGTCTGGTCGAGAAGGGAGAAAGCTAGAGCAAGGAACTGAACTCGAGTTCGTTCTATTCGTTCTAAAAGAATGCTAACCTAACATCGCCCTTGGTGATTGGCCAATTCCATCGAGATACGTAGGTCTTTTCATGGCTTCGTTCGATAAAGCACTCCAACCTAAAACAACAAAAAGAGGAAGATTTTTTAAGTTTAAGGTTGGAGCGAGGGTCCTACAAAGAAGACAGACGGATTGGAATACCAAAACGATCTCAAACGGTAGGTAGAGGTACCTGGGACAGAATAGCGTCCGAGACTCAACAAGCGAGAAAAGCGCAAGCATCCATCTTGCGATGGCTTTCACCTTTCCATCACGCTTGTCAAACAAAAGGTGAGTGCCTTCCTTACTGTAAAGAAGGAGGAAAGGTCCATGGGTTAGAGTAGCCTAGTTAGGTGGTTTTCCTTTTCTCCCTCGGGGGTGGGCTTTGTAGGAGTTGGGCGAGATGCAAGACTTTTTCCTAAAGGAGTTAGAGCAGCAGCTAGAGTCGCTAGAGAAAGAAATTGAGTAGCTGCGTCAGTCAAATAAGTAGCTAGATAACTAGATAAAAGAGAGAGAGAGGGATGAAGCGGGTAATTGAGCTATACCCTTCTTAACCCTCGGGTGGAAGAGTCTGCTTTGATAGAACCAGGGCTTTAGCGAACTCCACAGAGGATTTTATTTTACCATTTGATGAAGAGAGAGGGGGAATTTCTTACTTACTTGTAAGAGTCTGGTTATTTATTTATTTATTTATTACTTACTCAATAGAGGAAGGGATGCGCACAAGCTTGATGTTCAAAAGCCCAGGATCCTAGTCCTTCGCCCTAGAACTTGTCACTCTCTTTTCATTGGTCGCTCCTTTGTTGATTAGAGCATGGAAATTCTATTAAGATTTGGCAATCCATTAAGAAAAGCAAAGAAGGACCGAGCCTGGATCGGAAGGGAGCCTCCCTTAGTACTTATGGCGCAAGCCCTTTCAAGGCGGACATCGGTTGCAAGCAAAGCTCATGAGCAATTTACTACAAAAAAAGGATTCCTCCCTAACCAAAAAGTCTAAGGAAGGTTTGGTCATGGGCCTTGTCTTCTAGCTTCACATGCTATTGCTCAGTCCCACCCCTTTACTTGAAAGGAAAGGTGGAGCAGTTGCTTGTCAGACTCTATACAAAGTCAAAGAAAGGAAAATAGATAAAAAAAGTTCTTGAAGAGGTCCAGATGGTGGGGTACGAATCCTTAATAGAACCGATCTCTTCCTCCAAGCAGAGGCTGGGTTTGACTGGGGATTAGCGGCTTGACTAATCTTAGTAAAGGGGCATAGAAGCTCGACCAAGAGAGAACGAGTTAGATAGACTTTACAAACAAAGGTACGAGCTACATACGAGGAGAACGAACTACATATATGGAGCGAACCGAAACAGTTTTGGAGGAAGAAGTCCTACCTTATCGATTCCGGTGTGCAAAAGCCAGCTTCTCCGCTCCGTATTTTAGGGCTGAGCTAGACAAGCAAGGAGCCAGCTTCACGGCGCCCGAGGTGGCTTCCGTTTTTGGGTGGCCCTCTGCATTTGATTTTTTCTCGTTCATTCGGTCATCAAAGACATACTCTGCAAGCCAGTTTCCCCTGTCAGCATAAAAACATAGAGTCTTATCCGATCGGGGGACCTTCATTCCCCCCGCTGTATCGAATTCTTTGAGTGTCTAGCCTGCTCCCTTTGTTCAGTCGGAAGACTTTCTATTCAAATGAGACGCACTCCCATTGTCTCAATAAGGTCAGCAGCAAGGCATACAGCAGGGATTGAGTAGTCTTGAGAGGCGGACTTATAGTCCCCGGTTACGAGTTGACAACGTTGTTAACTACTAAAACTTAAAAAGTCTTTTACACCTTAGGGAAAGCGTACCGGAAGATCAAACTTTCGCTTAAAATCCCAGTTTTGATGAGCAGAGTTACGCTCCATTTCGATTTTGACTTAAAAAAAAATAGGTGAATAGTTTATAGCAGATGGGGAAAGCTAAAGAGCTTGGATTTTCCATTTTTAAATCCGTCAGAAAAGCTGTACCTTGACAAGCCCCACGATGCTTCTGGCAGCCATCATCGCAGGGACGAATAGATTCCCAAGGCCAGAACTATAGACTCATTCTGCAACAGCCCACTAGAAAAACAAAGGGCAAGGAGTTTCGCCCGAAGTTTACTTCTGTCGAACGAAAGGACTTGGCGGGTGTCAACTCGTCAATGGAAGATGGCTAGCGAACCTCAGTGTCTGGGAAAGGTAATAGAGTTTACAGCCGAAATGCTGCATAAAAGGAGTGAAATTAGGTGGCTTCACACAAACCAATCGACACTTTCATTCGAAAGACCAACCTAAACGTGAGAATCGGCTCGAAGATCAAAGGAATTCCTCCAGGTAAGGTGACAAGATGAAGACCAGCCCTTACTCTCTACTTCAGGGGCAAATCCCTGGTGTGACGACAGAAAAGAGCAGAAAATCTCCCGGCAAATGCAAGCGTCTCATAGTTCACATTTGATCGATTCAAACCAGCTGCTTAAAGAGCTGCTTGCTACCACTTTGTAATTGTATTAGAAGACAATAGCCCAAGACAGCTGTGGCATGCCCTGTTTACAGCTGCTTATCCTATTCTGTCTTTCCGTCATCTCAACCTCGCATCTAAGCATCACGTTCCTAGGGACAACAAAAAGACCTTCAAGCTCTAAGGCTATCATAGTACTGCCAGCATGGTTACATCTAACTGCCTACTGGGCAAGCTTCCACTTCTTTTTTTATTTGGCACCAGCCAAAGGAGTAGGAGCATGGGCACTGGTAAAAGATTCAATCGATCCTGTTCTGGTAACAAAGCAGTAGGCAAGCCTTAGTGGGGACCATCCATACCTCTAAGCCCGATAATCCCCTCGGATCGAAGCGCACCACGGGATGCTGTCCTTTATGGATGCTTTCTCTTGATATAACCAGATCAAGATGGCCGAAGAAAAGAAGACCGAGAGAAAACAGCGTTTATCACCATATCAGGTAGGAGGGCACGTTCTGTTACAAGGTGATGCCGTGGTGATCTAAGCCGTCAACGAGCAATTCGTCTCAGTTGAATCCAAAGAAAGAGGGCTAGGCCCGCCCAGTAATTAAGCAAACCGGAATGGAGCAAATCAGCAGTCTTTTAGGCCCAGTAATAGTAATTCTATTATAATAGAAAGAGCTCTAGGGAAAATCCATATGAAAGGGAAGGAGATATTCAGGTGGGTTGAATCCAATAAGTCAAGGTCATGATCGAGTTAAGTTAAGCTTGCGCTTTTTTTTTTTTTACAGCATGGATAACTTCGAATCATCCTCCACAACCCAATCTTTTCCAATTTTATTTTTAGCTTTGATTTGAATGTATTTTGTCTTCAACCTCCCTGGTTTCGACATGGGTTCAAAACCCCGATTCGGTCGGTTAAGAAGTAGGAGCGAATTCGTCTATCACAGGTAGTCGCTCACCCGCAGGTCTTTCTCATATATAAGCTAAGCCAGGCCAGGAGGGAATCAAGAATATGAATGTTCATCTCAAGTAGGGGGGCTTCTAAGCACCAGTAAGGAAGTAAGAATCCCCATCGCTGGAGCACTACAGGCCTAACTTATTATTCGATATAATGAGAAGGACCTTTATTGAACTAGAACCCTTATCCCCCAACTGATCTACCCAGTAATGTGATGAGTTCCGACCTCGAAGGCCCAATCCTTCGTCGTACGGAATGAGTATGACTTGGCTACAAGGGAAAGAATTAATCCAAGAGATCTAGCTTCTTGGAGGACCGGTTGTTAGCCCCATCATCATCCCGAGCTTTTCACCGTCGGTCCCATGACTGCACGAGCCCTATGAACTAGCTCTTCCGTGTCCGCCGAACTGTACGATGGAGGGCGTTCAATTCTAGTATTGAATTTTCCCAAGCGGGTGAGCACTGTTAATGTCTCTAGTAGATAGACTCTACAAGGAACCTGGCTCAGAGGAAGAAGGACATTAGTTTGAAGTCTCGAGTCTCTATCCCCTCTCTAGTGCTGCTTAAAAGGACCGGGTTCCCTACTACCGTGTCATGGCGATATCTGCCTCGAAACCCTCGGCTTGCCTCGTCTCCTAGTGGTGGTTTCCCGTGGAGCGACCGTGAGTCAGGTTCAGGTGGGAGATAGTACCTCTCCTTCCTCTGCCGGTATTGATGGTACTGGATATGACGGAAATTGTAAAGTGAACTTGAACTCCCGTTTTGGAGTTTCTTAGAGTGATGTTCGAGATCGCCTCTGTGTGGTTCACCCTAAGTAGCTAACCGAATCGGAACTGACTGAAAGGACTGCAAAGAGGATATAACTGTTTAGAGCCAGAACACTAGATGGAGAATAGGCTGCAAGAAAATAGGTTATTGTCTCTTTGAAGAGTATCATCCATGGCGAATGGTATCGTATATAAGAGAAGGGCCGCGCTTGCATGCCTTGTGGAGTGGAAAAGTAGACTGAAAATTGTGTATGTATATAAAGAGTCTTACCTTTTTTCAAAAAGAAGAGTCACGCTCTTTAAAAGCCCCTATTCGACGATGACTGAAGCCTATCTTCTTTAATAAGGGCTTTTTTAGGTATACCGCTCTCCCATGAAGAAGAGAGCCTATGATATCTTTGGTCTTTTTCCCATGCTTTCTGTTGGTCAACAACCAAGCACATCTCACTATAGTTCTTCACTACTCCGTGCAGGAAAGACTCTCTTTCTGTCTGTATGGAGGGAATTTTTTTTTTGATCAATCAATCACTATGTTTCCACTCAATTTTCATTACGAAGATGTATCACGTCAGGATCCGTTGCTCAAACTGAATCACGCCAACGTTATGGAAGTTCCTGGATCGTGTCAAATAAGAGTAGTACCAAAGGCACCCTATGATTTCATAATAAAAAATGGAAAATTGGCTATGGAGATTCCGCGCGGTCAGAAATTCATACAGACAAAAAGGGGTTCGACAGGAAAGTCGTTTCGATCCAATCCATTCTTGGGGTCAAAGAAAGACAAAGGATATGTCAGTGACCTAGCACGACAAAGCACTCTCCGAGGGCATGGAATGTCTAATTTTTCGGTCAGAATCTCGACAGTAATGTCTCTTTTAGATTCTCCGGTCGAAATACGGGAAAACTCCATTCAATTCTCGATGGAAACGGAGTTTTGCGAATTCTCCCCGGAACTGGAAGATCATTTCGAGATCTTCGAACATATTCGAGGGTTCAATGTGACTATTGTCACTTCGGCCAACACACAAGATGAGACTTTACCACCGTGGAGCGGCTTTTTGCAAAAAGATGAGGGAGAAACTCAGTAAGAGATGTCGGAGAAGCGAAATATACGAGATCACAAACGTAGATTGCTCGCGGCTAAATATGAATTGAGACGAAAGCTTTATAAAGCCTTTTGTAAAGATTCCGATCTTCCTAGTGATATGCGGGACAAACTTCGTTATAAGTTGTCCAAGTTGCCAAGAAAGAGTTCCTTTGCACGAGTAAGAAACCGATGTATTTCCACGGGTCGCCCTCGTTCCGTATATGAGTTCTTTCGAATTTCTCGTATCGTTTTTCGTGGATTAGCATCTCGAGGTCCTTTGATGGGCATAAAGAAATCGTCTTGGTAGCAACCGCCAAACCAATAGAACAAGGGTTAGCTCTGCAGCTGGTCCACAGTAAGTAGGTCCATTACCGGCCGGCTCCTAAGCTAGAAAAGACCTAACGGAGTAATCCCTTATCTCGGATCGGAGATGCTAACGGGGCAGGAATCGAAGTGGGGGACCTCTCTACCCGCCTGTGTCTATCTCCTGTCAAGTATGCTCCCCAGACATAGACTACGTACAGGGTAGTACTCTTGGATATAAGATCACCGCGTGAACATAACATTAAGTTACGAATGTAAACTCCCGAGGGATCGACCACTATTCTAAACTAAATAAAGTCAGGCGGAGAACTGTTGTTCATTGGAGCGCCGGAGTGCGGAGGTTGTTCCCATCATTGAAGTCAGAGTGTGGGACTGAGCCTTCCGAATGATAAAGAAAAAAAAGTGCTTAGTTTCGTTGGAAAAACCAACGCAAATATCATATTGACTTTATCTCGCCCAACTTCTAAGGATAGATAGAAAAGGTTGGAGAGAGTGACTTTCTGAACTGAAATTCTCTCCTTTCTAAAGCTGCGGCAAGGCGGCCCCACCCCCAGAACAAAGCCCCACCCCTCTTTCCCCCCTTTAATGAAAGACCCTCGCCCGCCCCGCTTCCTATTCATTTTTTGGTCGGGACCGAGTGCCTTTTTTTTTTATCAGAGGTGATTTCGAGAATCAACCGGCAAATCCGTAGCCCCCAGGTGACTCACAGCCTCCCTCTCAGCCCAAATTAAATGGGATGAATCAAATAAAAAAACGACGCTTTGATTGATTCAGGGCGCGCGAAAAGAAAATTCTTTCAGGCAAAAGGGGGGGCTTACTTACTTGACTTTTCCCTGACGCTGAGTCATCCTATCTTGCTATGCTACTCGAGAGGAAATTGTTCAGATGATATGGACCCCCAAGAGATGACGAGAACCTCCATTCTTCGCTGGTAGTCCACTCGCACTCTAAAAAACCCGCTTGGTGGAACGAAATCTTCTCTCCTTTTAGACTTCTGTCTCGCCACACACCTTTGCCCTCTTTCAACCGAAGAGGAAGAGAATCTTCCAAGCGGACGAGACCTAAATTTCCATTAGCTCCTTCCTAACTTGCAAGTTGTTGCAGGTAAATACAGTCCCGAGAGCTGGAGAGAAGATTTCGTCCACCAGCGGGTTTTTTTTAGAGTGGCGACCCCTAAGCAATTTGGAGTTCTCGTCCATCTCTTGGGGGTCCATATCATCTGAAAACTTTTCCTCTTCGATTAGCATAGCTAAGAATAGGATGACTCAGCGTCAGGAAAAGTCAAGTAAGTAAGCCCCCCCTTTTGCCTTGAGAATTTTCTTTCGCTGCGCCCTGAATCAATCAAAAAGCTTCTTTTTTTTTATTTGATTCATCCCATTTATTGGGCGAGAGGAGGCTGTGAGTCACCTGGCTACGGATTTGCCGGTTGATTCTCGAAATCACCTCTTGATAAAAAAAAAAAGGCCCTCGGTCCCGACCAAAAAATGAATAGGAAGCGGGCGGGCGAGGGTCTTTCATTAAAGGGGGGGAAAAGAGGGTGGGGCTTTGTTCTGGGGGTGGGGCCGCCTTGCGCAGCTTTAGAAAGGAGAGAATTTCAGTTCAGAAAGTCACTCTCTCCACCTTTCTATCTATCCTTAGAAGTTGGGCGAGATAAAGTCAATATGATATTTGCGTTGGTTTTTCCAACGAAACTAAGCACTTTTTTTCTTTATCATTCGGAAGGCTCAGTCCCACACTCTGACTTCAATGATGGGAACAACCTCCGCACTCCGGCGCTCCAATGAACAACAGTTCTCCGCCTGACTTTATTTAGTTAGAATAGTGGTCGATCCCTCGGGAGTTACATTCGTAACTTAATGTTATGTTCACGCGGTGATCTTATATCCAAGAGTACTACCCTGTACGTAGTCTATGTCTGGGGAGCATACTTGACAGGAGATAGACACAGGCGGTAGAGAGGTCCCCCACTTCGATTCCTGCCCCGTTAGCATCTCCGATCCGAGATAAGGGATTACTCCGTTAGGTCTTTTCTAGCTTAGGAGCCGGCCGGTAATGGACCTACTTACTGTGGACCAGCTGCAGAGCTAACCCTTGTTCTATTGGTTTGGCGGTTGCTACCAAGACGATTTCTTTATGCCCATCAAAGGACCTCGAGATGCTAATCCACGAAAAACGATACGAGAAATTCGAAAGAACTCATATACGGAACGAGGGCGACCCGTGGAAATACATCGGTTTCTTACTCGTGCAAAGGAACTCTTTCTTGGCAACTTGGACAACTTATAACGAAGTTTGTCCGCATATCACTAGGAAGATCGGAATCTTTACAAAAGGCTTTATAAAGCTTTCGTCTCAATTCATATTTAGCCGCGAGCAATCTACGTTTGTGATCTCGTATATTTCGCTTCTCCGACATCTCTTACTGAGTTTCTCCCTCATCTTTTTGCAAAAAGCCGCTCCACGGTGGTAAAGTCTCATCTTGTGTGTTGGCCGAAGTGACAATAGTCACATTGAACCCTCGAATATGTTCGAAGATCTCGAAATGATCTTCCAGTTCCGGGGAGAATTCGCAAAACTCCGTTTCCATCGAGAATTGAATGGAGTTTTCCCGTATTTCGACCGGAGAATCTAAAAGAGACATTACTGTCGAGATTCTGACCGAAAAATTAGACATTCCATGCCCTCGGAGAGTGCTTTGTCGTGCTAGGTCACTGACATATCCTTTGTCTTTCTTTGACCCCAAGAATGGATTGGATCGAAACGACTTTCCTGTCGAACCCCTTTTTGTCTGTATGAATTTCTGACCGCGCGGAATCTCCATAGCCAATTTTCCATTTTTTATTATGAAATCATAGGGTGCCTTTGGTACTACTCTTATTTGACACGATCCAGGAACTTCCATAACGTTGGCGTGATTCAGTTTGAGCAACGGATCCTGACGTGATACATCTTCGTAATGAAAATTGAGTGGAAACATAGTGATTGATTGATCAAAAAAAAATTCCCTCCATACAGACAGAAAGAGAGTCTTTCCTGCACGGAGTAGTGAAGAACTATAGTGAGATGTGCTTGGTTGTTGACCAACAGAAAGCATGGGAAAAAGACCAAAGATATCATAGGCTCTCTTCTTCATGGGAGAGCGGTATACCTAAAAAAGCCCTTATTAAGAAGATAGGCTTCAGTCATCGTCGAATAGGGGCTTTTAAAGAGGCGTGACTCTTCTTTTTGAAAAAAGGTAAGACTCTTTATATACATACACAATTTTCAGTCTACTTTTCCACTCCACAAGGCATGCAAGCGCGGCCCTTCTCTTATATACGATACCATTCGCCATGGATGATACTCTTCAAAGAGACAATAACCTATTTTCTTGCAGCCTATTCTCCATCTAGTGTTCTGGCTCTAAACAGTTATATCCTCTTTGCAGTCCTTTCAGTCAGTTCCGATTCGGTTAGCTACTTAGGGTGAACCACACAGAGGCGATCTCGAACATCACTCTAAGAAACTCCAAAACGGGAGTTCAAGTTCACTTTACAATTTCCGTCATATCCAGTACCATCAATACCGGCAGAGGAAGGAGAGGTACTATCTCCCACCTGAACCTGACTCACGGTCGCTCCACGGGAAACCACCACTAGGAGACGAGGCAAGCCGAGGGTTTCGAGGCAGATATCGCCATGACACGGTAGTAGGGAACCCGGTCCTTTAAGCAGCACTAGAGAGGGGATAGAGACTCGAGACTTCAAACTAATGTCCTTCTTCCTCTGAGCCAGGTTCCTTGTAGAGTCTATCTACTAGAGACATTAACAGTGCTCACCCGCTTGGGAAAATTCAATACTAGAATTGAACGCCCTCCATCGTACAGTTCGGCGGACACGGAAGAGCTAGTTCATAGGGCTCGTGCAGTCATGGGACCGACGGTGAAAAGCTCGGGATGATGATGGGGCTAACAACCGGTCCTCCAAGAAGCTAGATCTCTTGGATTAATTCTTTCCCTTGTAGCCAAGTCATACTCATTCCGTACGACGAAGGATTGGGCCTTCGAGGTCGGAACTCATCACATTACTGGGTAGATCAGTTGGGGGATAAGGGTTCTAGTTCAATAAAGGTCCTTCTCATTATATCGAATAATAAGTTAGGCCTGTAGTGCTCCAGCGATGGGGATTCTTACTTCCTTACTGGTGCTTAGAAGCCCCCTACTTGAGATGAACATTCATATTCTTGATTCCCTCCTGGCCTGGCTTAGCTTATATATGAGAAAGACCTGCGGGTGAGCGACTACCTGTGATAGACGAATTCGCTCCTACTTCTTAACCGACCGAATCGGGGTTTTGAACCCATGTCGAAACCAGGGAGGTTGAAGACAAAATACATTCAAATCAAAGCTAAAAATAAAATTGGAAAAGATTGGGTTGTGGAGGATGATTCGAAGTTATCCATGCTGTAAAAAAAAAAAAGCGCAAGCTTAACTTAACTCGATCATGACCTTGACTTATTGGATTCAACCCACCTGAATATCTCCTTCCCTTTCATATGGATTTTCCCTAGAGCTCTTTCTATTATAATAGAATTACTATTACTGGGCCTAAAAGACTGCTGATTTGCTCCATTCCGGTTTGCTTAATTACTGGGCGGGCCTAGCCCTCTTTCTTTGGATTCAACTGAGACGAATTGCTCGTTGACGGCTTAGATCACCACGGCATCACCTTGTAACAGAACGTGCCCTCCTACCTGATATGGTGATAAACGCTGTTTTCTCTCGGTCTTCTTTTCTTCGGCCATCTTGATCTGGTTATATCAAGAGAAAGCATCCATAAAGGACAGCATCCCGTGGTGCGCTTCGATCCGAGGGGATTATCGGGCTTAGAGGTATGGATGGTCCCCACTAAGGCTTGCCTACTGCTTTGTTACCAGAACAGGATCGATTGAATCTTTTACCAGTGCCCATGCTCCTACTCCTTTGGCTGGTGCCAAATAAAAAAAAGAAGTGGAAGCTTGCCCAGTAGGCAGTTAGATGTAACCATGCTGGCAGTACTATGATAGCCTTAGAGCTTGAAGGTCTTTTTGTTGTCCCTAGGAACGTGATGCTTAGATGCGAGGTTGAGATGACGGAAAGACAGAATAGGATAAGCAGCTGTAAACAGGGCATGCCACAGCTGTCTTGGGCTATTGTCTTCTAATACAATTACAAAGTGGTAGCAAGCAGCTCTTTAAGCAGCTGGTTTGAATCGATCAAATGTGAACTATGAGACGCTTGCATTTGCCGGGAGATTTTCTGCTCTTTTTCTGTCGTCACACCAGGGATTTGCCCCTGAAGTAGAGAGTAAGGGCTGGTCTTCATCTTGTCACCTTACCTGGAGGAATTCCTTTGATCTTCGAGCCGATTCTCACGTTTAGGTTGGTCTTTCGAATGAAAGTGTCGATTGGTTTGTGTGAAGCCACCTAATTTCACTCCTTTTATGCAGCATTTCGGCTGTAAACTCTATTACCTTTCCCAGACACTGAGGTTCGCTAGCCATCTTCCATTGACGAGTTGACACCCGCCAAGTCCTTTCGTTCGACAGAAGTAAACTTCGGGCGAAACTCCTTGCCCTTTGTTTTTCTAGTGGGCTGTTGCAGAATGAGTCTATAGTTCTGGCCTTGGGAATCTATTCGTCCCTGCGATGATGGCTGCCAGAAGCATCGTGGGGCTTGTCAAGGTACAGCTTTTCTGACGGATTTAAAAATGGAAAATCCAAGCTCTTTAGCTTTCCCCATCTGCTATAAACTATTCACCTATTTTTTTTTAAGTCAAAATCGAAATGGAGCGTAACTCTGCTCATCAAAACTGGGATTTTAAGCGAAAGTTTGATCTTCCGGTACGCTTTCCCTAAGGTGTAAAAGACTTTTTAAGTTTTAGTAGTTAACAACGTTGTCAACTCGTAACCGGGGACTATAAGTCCGCCTCTCAAGACTACTCAATCCCTGCTGTATGCCTTGCTGCTGACCTTATTGAGACAATGGGAGTGCGTCTCATTTGAATAGAAAGTCTTCCGACTGAACAAAGGGAGCAGGCTAGACACTCAAAGAATTCGATACAGCGGGGGGAATGAAGGTCCCCGATCGGATAAGACTCTATGTTTTTATGCTGACAGGGGAAACTGGCTTGCAGAGTATGTCTTTGATGACCGAATGAACGAGAAAAAATCAAATGCAGAGGGCCACCCAAAAACGGAAGCCACCTCGGGCGCCGTGAAGCTGGCTCCTTGCTTGTCTAGCTCAGCCCTAAAATACGGAGCGGAGAAGCTGGCTTTTGCACACCGGAATCGATAAGGTAGGACTTCTTCCTCCAAAACTGTTTCGGTTCGCTCCATATATGTAGTTCGTTCTCCTCGTATGTAGCTCGTACCTTTGTTTGTAAAGTCTATCTAACTCGTTCTCTCTTGGTCGAGCTTCTATGCCCCTTTACTAAGATTAGTCAAGCCGCTAATCCCCAGTCAAACCCAGCCTCTGCTTGGAGGAAGAGATCGGTTCTATTAAGGATTCGTACCCCACCATCTGGACCTCTTCAAGAACTTTTTTTATCTATTTTCCTTTCTTTGACTTTGTATAGAGTCTGACAAGCAACTGCTCCACCTTTCCTTTCAAGTAAAGGGGTGGGACTGAGCAATAGCATGTGAAGCTAGAAGACAAGGCCCATGACCAAACCTTCCTTAGACTTTTTGGTTAGGGAGGAATCCTTTTTGTAGTAAATTGCTCATGAGCTTTGCTTGCAACCGATGTCCGCCTTGAAAGGGCTTGCGCCATAAGTACTAAGGGAGGCTCCCTTCCGATCCAGGCTCGGTCCTTCTTTGCTTTTCTTAATGGATTGCCAAATCTTAATAGAATTTCCATGCTCTAATCAACAAAAGGAGCGACCAATGAAAAGAGAGTGACAAGTTCTAGGGCGAAGGACTAGGATCCTGGGCTTTTGAACATCAAGCTTGTGCGCATCCCTTCCTCTATTGAGTAAGTAATAAATAAATAAATAAATAACCAGACTCTTACAAGTAAGTAAGAAATTCCCCCTCTCTCTTCATCAAATGGTAAAATAAAATCCTCTGTGGAGTTCGCTAAAGCCCTGGTTCTATCAAAGCAGACTCTTCCACCCGAGGGTTAAGAAGGGTATAGCTCAATTACCCGCTTCATCCCTCTCTCTCTCTCTTTTATCTAGTTATCTAGCTACTTATTTGACTGACGCAGCTACTCAATTTCTTTCTCTAGCGACTCTAGCTGCTGCTCTAACTCCTTTAGGAAAAAGTCTTGCATCTCGCCCAACTCCTACAAAGCCCACCCCCGAGGGAGAAAAGGAAAACCACCTAACTAGGCTACTCTAACCCATGGACCTTTCCTCCTTCTTTACAGTAAGGAAGGCACTCACCTTTTGTTTGACAAGCGTGATGGAAAGGTGAAAGCCATCGCAAGATGGATGCTTGCGCTTTTCTCGCTTGTTGAGTCTCGGACGCTATTCTGTCCCAGGTACCTCTACCTACCGTTTGAGATCGTTTTGGTATTCCAATCCGTCTGTCTTCTTTGTAGGACCCTCGCTCCAACCTTAAACTTAAAAAATCTTCCTCTTTTTGTTGTTTTAGGTTGGAGTGCTTTATCGAACGAAGCCATGAAAAGACCTACGTATCTCGATGGAATTGGCCAATCACCAAGGGCGATGTTAGGTTAGCATTCTTTTAGAACGAATAGAACGAACTCGAGTTCAGTTCCTTGCTCTAGCTTTCTCCCTTCTCGACCAGACGAAGGAGATATGAATTCATATCAGGCGGGTAAGGGCTTGGCTTGACTCTGTGTTCTCTCCTGGTCGGGTCGGAGGCGAAGACTGGCAAAGTTCATCATTCAGTGGTGGGGTGTTCATAGAAAAGAGGGCGTCGCCCAACGAGTGGCAGATTTGGATGGAGTCTCGCTCATAGATAGAGGAAGAGTACGCGCGCTAGCGCGCTACGGCTTACGCAGTTGATCGGATCAGATAGCCCTTCGGTTGGTTGCCCAACCGCACATAAAATTCCGATCAACAACTTGGAGGTATGGCTGAGTGGCTTAAGGCATTGGTTTGCTAAATCGACATACAAGAAGATTGTATCATGGGTTCGAATCCCATTTCCTCCGGCACGGAAGTGGAACGGGCGGGCGAAATTACGTGAGAGAAAGAACCTCTTGGTGTTGGTGGAGTCCCCCGGAGGACAGAATAGCACTACTTAGTTACTAGGAGCGGAGAGCCCGTTGCGCGTTGTTTTGACCGGCCTGCCTATCTTCTTTTATATTAATTATAAGCAAGCTCCCTCCGGCAGTCCCTGGGCGGCTCTCGGTTCTTTAGCATGTTGGGAGAGGAGATTAGGCGGCAGTTGAAAGAGCTGCTCGAAAGCTTGACGAACGAAAAAATATAGGGCTTTCTTTTTATGAGTAAAGGGCTTTTCCCTTACTAGTAAAGTGGTAAGTAAGGTAGGGCGCTATTCGATGAAGAAAAGAGACTGACTTTAGGAAAGTGGTTCAGGTAGCTCAGCTGGTTAGAGCAAAGGACTGAAAATCCTTGTGTCAGTGGTTCGAATCCACTTCTAAGCGGGCTTTGGGTCCAAAGGGGACGACAGGTAGTTTAAGAAGAGCGAGCCGGATTTTTTAAATTCAAGATCAAGAGGAAGCCAAAAAAAAATGTGAGCGCTCCTGCACTATACGGCTTTTTGGCGTCGCCCTATCTTGCTGGAGGCAGATTTTATAAAAAAAGCGGTTGATTACTCGGATTGGTTCTCGCGTCCCTGATTTGACCCCAAAAGGATGGGCGAGTTCGGTTCGAGTCTTCATCGATCGGGTGGATCTATATGCTGAGGGGGGTGAGACGAGGTGTAGCGCAGTCTGGTCAGCGCATCTGTTTTGGGTACAGAGGGCCATAGGTTCGAATCCTGTCACCTTGATGTGAGGTAGTAAAGACCTAAAGAGCACCCATCAACCCGTAAACTTTCGCTCTTTTAGAAAGAAGAAAATAGACCGCCCTTGATCTGGGCGGGATCTAAAGCAGCATTTCTTCCTAGGTTTTTTCTCGGGGGCAAGCCTTAGGTTCAATTCTTTCTTGCCTATAGTCATCTTACCTTCTTCTGATTCCGAGGAGTGAAACTGCATTTCAGTAGTATCTAATTCACGTAACGTAAGAAAAGAGAATCAGTCTGCATGCTTAACAGCCTTCCTTGTCTGAATCCCTTTTTATGTAAATGTAAAAAAAAAGGAGGCTCCCTCATGGGTCTTTGGGGCTATGAGCAAGAACCACATTCCTTAAAGAAAGTATACCCGAAAGCACTTTATCTAGAATGGGTCAATCAATCAGTAAGTTGCTGACATTGAAGAGATTCAAGTCGATGCTTCCACTGGCGAATTCTAGTCCTAGGTTCTCCCAATATAGTTGAGTTCCAATACCTTTTTCCCGAAAAGCAATCAGCTTAGATCGAACAATAAACATTCGGGATCCTGAAAACTACTGCCGCCACGCCCCCTGTCCATTATAGCTGACAAGATAAGCACATTGATCATGGAGTCACCATCGACTCTCAAATTGGAAATCAAGCTGAACTCGCTTAGCAGTTTGAGCCGTCTTTCAGATAAGAGGGCAGTGATCTGACCCAGGATCATGGAAAACCTGCGCTGCGCTTGAGGGAACAGAAGGCGCCACTCAGCCGTTGCTAGCGCACGATCAAGCCGAATGCGAACATTTGCTTCCCCAGGTCTGACATTACACCGTGTGAAAGGAGTTCCTTTGAAGCCCAGATCAAGAAAGCAACAATCATTTAGGAATTGTTTGAAACTCCTCGTCTGGGAAAGAGTGACTGCCCTTAGACCATCTTTCTAAGCACTGGAAGCAACCAAAAGAGGTTTCAATCACCAACAGCCAGCCAGGGAAGTTGTAATGAGAACCCTAACTGAGTAATCAGTTCCAAGACTCTTCTTCTTTTAGCCTTAATTTTATCCCCACGGACACAAGTAAGATGCCATTCATAAGACCGACCCCGAAGAGACGAGTTGACCACCAAATCCAAAAAGTATATTGATTGACCCTAAAGTTGGATAGAAAGAGAACTGTCCGTCCACAGAGCCAAACCACTTGACCGACCAACCGGGTCCACATAAACCTTATTTTTAATCCCAAACGATTCCTCCATCTCTCCAGTTTATATTGAAAATTCAAAGTTATTTTCCTGTTTTTGGCAAATTGGATGTTCAGATGCTTATTGGGTTCCACTGTTGGTTTATCTGGAAAAGTCGGTGTGCTTTGTTGTTTGAGAATGTGAACCAGGACCCTCTTGCTATTGCCCACGGAGCTATTAGAAGTTATACTGAATGGAAGCCCAGGAGTTGCATTCTTTAATCGCCCGACCCTCCAAGACTTGAATCAGGAAGAGCTTTTATATACTATGCTGCCTTTTGCCTTGCGCTTGGTCTTTTTTCTTTATTGCCTTCGCCTGTACAACTACATTTATTAAGGGCTTGTTTTGTCTGATCAAGCAAGCGTTTAATCTCCTCCTCGCTTACCTTTCTGGGTCTTTTTTTCAGAAGTTCTTTACTTTATGTTGATGTCATCGAAGCTACAACAATCAAGGCTGGGCCTTTTATTGCTCTTCTCTTGTCCCCTCGGGTTATTAAAGCGGTGGAACTGGAAAACTATCAATGCTTTTCTCCCTGTCTTTCCACTTATATAATTAAAAAGAAATTCATCTCTTCATCGGATACGTCTTCTTCCGTGATCCATTTCATGAATCATTAGAGTGCGCGTTGCGTGAGGAGTTAAGGGCTATTCCAGTCGATTGATCCTCCGCTTCCGATTCCTCTTCCGATTCCTCTTCCGATTCCGCTTCTGGCCGTCTCGCTCCTATCGCTTTGTTGGCTGACAGCCCCTATCGCTAATCAGAGAGAGGGTAGCGAATCGAATTAAGTGGCGGCCTTGAGCTCTTCTTCTTTTAGCCCTCTTCTCTGAGTCCGCAGCTATTCCATCTGGTGGTATACTAGAGTCGATAGGCCTGCCTAAAGGCTGCTCTTCTGCCTTACCCTTAAGTAAGGGCGGTGGAACTCTTATACTTCCTTTATCCGCTATCGCTATGTCATTTTCGTTGGGTAAGCAGTAGAACTCGTTGCCCTTTCTTCCACGCTAGAAGTGAAAGCCCAGCCAAGTTCTTGGAGAATCTATAGTTTCTGGTGTTGGGCGAGATGGGGAGAAAACTCCACTCCTTGCTTCAGCCCTTCTTCTCCCACAGACAGACCTGGGTGGGGATCTCTACTCGAATAGAAGGCGCGAACTCATCGATGCTATGACAGCCCTTCCTTGCCTGAAAGCTGCTGTTTTCTCAGGTCGAGTTGAGGGCTTGAGCTTCTATGATTCCTGTATTCTTGCTTTTTTTTTTCCGGCTGTCTTCTTTCTTTAACAAAAATAAAGGCCAGTTCTTGTCTAATCGATTTAGGCTCCTTCCTCTTATTATGGTGGAGCTGCCACTGATTGACTAACCTCAGTCAGGATCTCTGATCCCTACGACATGATCTCAGGTGATCCCTCTCCATATAGTATAAAAGCTCGAGCTTCTCCACTGCTCGATTTCACAAGTAATTGAGTGGCTGAGCTATAGCTGCTTGAATAAAAGACAGGCTTTTTCAACTCCATCGAAGCCGGAACCAGTGCTATCGGAGGGCAACCGTCGCTACTCCTTCTCCGCCGTTGACTGATCTGATGACCTTAAATGCCTAGGTCCTTCTTACATGGACTTGAAGTTCCGTGCTTGAAGTGAAGCTGGAACGAGTTCTTTCATAGCCCTATCCCGAGGATAGAAGGTTTAATTCTACTCTGCTGCTGACTTAGCTCGTCCTATCTAATCCCTTTCCTTTCTTTTTATTAAAAAAAAAGGGGGCTTGAGTGGACAATTCTGTACCTATTGGTCAAGTGGTTAAACGCTCCTTCTTATGCTTTTCCTTATTCGGAAATTAAAAGATTTACCTTGTTTGTTCACCGGGTTCATACTCAGAGAAGTATGCCACGTATGTCTTCTTGGTCTCTTTCTTTGTGGCCAGGGGAAGTCGCATGAATAAGGCAAGATACAAAAGTAAGATGCCCCACTAGTCTGATTTTATTGATCACTAGCCCTTACTTACTCTCAGTCACTGATTCAAGAACGAATACCGAGACAGCCGTTCCCTTGCCGGTCTACTGCCTGATGGCTTGACATCGCTAAAGAATCAGTAATGAAAGCAAGAGCTAAGAATCAATAAATGGAAGAAAGTACCAATTGGATTGGCAATGTGCGCTCAAACCTGCTACTAGTCTCTGTGATCACTTATCTAATTTCAGTAACCATCATTCCGCCAGTGAATGTGTAGCGAAAGAAGGGAAAATCACTACCCTTTCTGATACATCTGACTGGTTTACTTTCAATCAATCTTCAGAGCACAGAGGGAATTACCCACACCGAACAGCATGTGTTAAGCATTTCGTTTAGGCAAATAAGAGCTCGCATAGCTTCTCTAATCTCCATCATCTTATCTAGCCTTTCTTCGGGAATAGCGGGACGGGTTCCCTATCTTACGAGCAACTATATACAATCCTAAAGGGGAAAGCTTCTCTCGAATGTATGAAGGAGAAGAGATACCCGAAGGCATATTTTCATAAGCATTTCCTACCCCGCCTGAAGCTAGCATATACCCGCCATGGCGAAGAGGCCATATGTTGCAGAGGTGTGTCGAGGCCTGCTACGCAGAGGCTCACAGGGAAGAAAGAAGGGCAAGTTCACCTTGATAGCTATAATGGACAGGGGGCATGGCGGCCGTGGTCCTTTTCCCCTGCAATGAAGGGCGGAGGATGATGATGAGGATTGACTCACTGATTAAGACGCCATGAGTAAAGATGAGTAAGAGGTTTTTAGTTCGAGTTGGAGTGGAAGCAGTGAAGGAGGCGAGTTCCCTAACCTACGCGAGCCTAAAGAGAAGAGAGTTCAGTCTACGAAGGGTTCGGGTTCTCAGTCCGGATCATGGAAAACCCACGCAGGCCCTTTCGGAGAGGTCTCACGGGGAAAGAGACAAGGAGGAAGAAGGGGGCACTACGGGAAGAGCATCCTGCGCAACGACATAAATCGCGCCACTTGAAGTGCGTGCTTTACTTTGACTATCGGGCATGAAAATCTCGCTTTCTTTCTAGTACCGTCTGTGATCAAAGATCGTTCCGGATTCGTCGGTCAGGAGTGAATCAGGCTTTGGGGGGTCGGTAAGAACCATCAACTAAACTAATAAGGCTAGCGCTTTCGACTTGGACTAAAGGGCAAAGCTCCCCCTCTGCAAGCAAGATAAGGCCTTGGTGATGGCTGAAATCCGCATGCATTTTGAAGAAAGAATGGCATCACCGACTCTCTACCATCGACCCTATTCTCTCACGTAGGATCACCAACCCATGGCCCCAACCCCTTAACTAATAGATGCAAGGGTTCATGACTGGGCTAAATGCATATGGATCGGAAGAAGGATCCGGATGCCTTGCATATCGCCCACAAATGCTTTATAAAGTCTTAAGCAGAAGAAGAGGAAGAACGAAGCTTTCCACTTATCAATTCTTCTTCTATCGGAGGTCGTACGAATGAGGAGAGCAGCAGCTACTTCTTGACTTTCAACCTACGACCGAAGTCAAGGACTTGACTGGACAGACTGATTGAGAGACAGACCAGGCTACTTTCTATTCTATAAAGAAGAGACCTTATTTATTTCCTTATGATAGGCCCACAGGATAGAAAAGTAGATCGTTCAACTCTAGCTTCTGTTTTCAGGTCCCACATTGAATCTCAAATCGATCTTTGCTACATGCTGCTTAAGACATTGAATTCGAAGAAGAGAGAGTGAGCAGCTGACTTGCAACCTAGGACCTAGGGGCAGGAAAGAGGATCTTACCCCAAGACTGACTTTCACTATGCATTCATTACTGGCCAGCCAGCCAAGATCGGCTGTTCGCGGTCCGGTTTTGAAAGCGGAAGGGAAGAAAGCAAAGAAGGTGGGCGCGTAAACAATTGATTGGCGCTTACTAGAGCCTTTCCGTGCTTGTTGGATGGGTTGGATTATAGGCTGGCCTGGCTAGCTATCCGTGCTCCCTGTCGTCAAAAAGAGCAGGGATTGGCTTATTTGACAATTAGCTGGAAGTCGGGTATGCCTATTCAACATAAACAAAGGCGCTGGGTAGATCGTAGATTGCCGGGGTATGAATTAGATTATAAGTCGGAGAATGCCCATGAAGAGGGTCTTATTAGAGAATATGCTGTTTTGAAAGTAGCCCTAGACAGATCATTGCTAAGAGGAAAGCAGGGAAGAAGAGACAGGCTGACTTACTGAAGCAAGGACTAGCAGCGCGTCTTGTCCAATGCCTCAGTAAGTCCAAAGCAAGAAAGGGGAATGCTTAATGAATTTTTATGCCAAATAGGCTAACGAACGTCTTTCATTCCCTCGGATCACTGAATTACCTTAACAGAGCGGGTTAAGATTACACTCTTCTCCGCATGCTCAGTCTTCATATCTATTTTATGAACCACTTTTTCTGTGACATTCATAGAGTGAATTGCAAAAAAAATGGGGTGGTTTATCTCTATTTCTATTCTATTTACCACAGCTTCATGCCAAACCTTCACGCTCTACTTAATGAATGCCTTACCTTCATGCCTTTCGAGTCGAGCCCGGAATCGGAATCGGAATCGGAAGAGGAATCCAAGGAATTGATGCGCCAAATCGTCTGCATGCGCTGAATCGTCTTCTCTGCCTTTACCAATGTGAGGAGGCAATCCTGATTGTTTGAATTCAAAGAAATGCTAGAAGTACCGCAATATCCCCGATCTACGATAATGGGGTATTCTCTTGCCCATTGGAAGTAGGTATTGGGAGTTAAAAGGCTTAGCAGCAGCCATTAGACAAAAACCTTCTTAAAGCATCACTTCAGGGCTACCTGAAGAAAAGTCACTAAAGAAAACCACTACTTACGATATTTCCTCATCTTCAATGTCGCTAAATAGTGGGTTTTTCCTAACCTAATAGGGGTTTAGCCTATACCGTAGTGTTAAAAAAAAAGCCTTTCTAGAGCCTTACTTCATTCTGGTGTCTTGGATTTGGTTCGATCAGTCTTTTCGTAAAAAATGAATAAGATGCATTGGGCGTTTAGGCTTGACTAATAAAATAACATAGAAAGGGCTTTTTCAGCTTACTCTGCTACAGCGGAACGTTAGCAGGGTGCCTTTTTGTTGTTTGTGGGCTTGAAGGACTTAGCGCCGTGACAAGTGGTATCAGAGCCAAGCCATGGCTAGTGGGAAGAACCCGTAGGCTAGTGCCGTCGAGCCACTGCTTTTTTTGCCATCTGCCCTTTATTATATATAATTAGAGAAAAAATCTGGGATTGACGGCTTTGGCATGGATGGATGAATTGCTTATAGTAAGGTAGAAGCGATGCGGGATGGGATAAATCTTCTCTCTTTCTTCTAAGCTTGAAAGTCGAATATCTCTTTTCTCTCCCGCCTAAGGAAAGAGGAACGAACGAAGTAGCTCGAAAGAGGGGCATCTATCTCTATTGATCGAGCTGAAGGAGATAGGGGATCCACTGAAATTTATCTCCTCTCCCACTTCTCCAGCTTGGGAATACTTCCTTCTATTGGCTATATATCTGTAGTCACAATGCCAGTTCCAGCTATCTTCTGGATAGAAGCGCAGGTGCTTGAGTTCAAGGCAGACAGGTAAGGGTAGGTAGTAAAGGCAAGCGCATAGTTCAGTGATCTACGGCATCCGCATCCGGGAAAGAGGGAACTCTCCTCGTTCCGAGTCGCCATGAGGCATAAGAGCAAAACATTCCCCTAGAAGGGAGCTTCGATAGGTATCCTTTTACGTACGCTATTTGCTTCGATGCTTTACTACTCTTGAATGTCGGAAATAGGATTCTCTTTTTCTTCTTTCTTGTCTGAGACTGATGCCAGCTTAGAAAGAAAGTGAGGCACTATTCGCTAATCAGGAAAGAGGCTTGACTCTTGCTTGTCGATCTCTATTCCTCCTCGTACATTAAGCAGAGCAGGGAATAGGAATAGTAAAAGAAAGTCGGAAAGTCATAAGGTAGGTAAGCAAGCCGCCCTGGTGCCAAGCTAAAGACAAGGATCACATCGATAAGAGCAAAAGCATGGCCGAGGTTGGAAAGGAGTACTCATTCGACATTACGAAAACGTATGAGATCTTTGACCGACTGTTGAAGGATGAGCAGTTAAAGCTTGAAGATGGTCATGTCCTTTCATCGGCTGAAGAAGTAATGGGAAAGAAAGACTTTTTTAGGGTCATGTTAAAGCATCTAAAGGGAGGGGGGCCCTAGACTAATAAGGCGATAATAAGATAAAGAAGACTTTCCTCGCTTCGCACCTTAAGGGGAGAAAGCTGCTTTCTTTCAGTAATCCGTTTACGGCAGGTGTGGGTAAGCTGGAGGGGACCACAGTAGGGAGAGTAACTAGCTGATTTAGTGAGGTTCCTGCTATTCTTCGGTGAGGGATAAGATCTTTCACTCTAGTAGGAAGAAGACAGGTGGGAGTGGGCCGAGCGAGAGCACAGCAAGCTCTTCTTTGGGGTGGGCTGCAAGTTCCAGGGGTGGGCTGGTCGTCCCCCATTTAGACATAGTAAGAAGAGAAGATAGGATCTTAGAACTAAAGAGCATCGACTGCAACAATGCATTTAGCACCTTCGAAAAGCCCGAGTCGAAAGGTAGTGAGGGGTGTCTGCCTAAGTAGCCCAGTCATTTAGGAACTTCGAACATCCTTTTCCTTCATGCTAGAGCGGATGTAGTGGAATTGGGCTATCTATTCTCTAGTAGAGTCCCATCCGGGAAAGAGGGAACTACTATCTCGATCACCCCATCTTTAGCTAAGAGAGAGGAGGTCAAGCAGTCAGGCTAATCAGTAATGATACTCGAAGGAAGACGAAAACAGGGTTATTGGAACTAGTTTTCAAAGGCTGTCTTACCCCTTCCTTTAGTGATCTATAAGCTATAAACCTTCCTCACACCTAAAATAAAAAGAAAAAAGACCTAGCCTAATCAGACAAGATAAAAGCGAAAAGAGAAAGAGAGAGCTACGTTAAAACAAAGAAAAGAGCTATATCGAAAAGATGGAAGGTCGATCAAGATAAGAAGGAAGGTCATAGAGAACCGTTATAAAGACAATTAGCAGCCTTATAAGAAAAGAATGATGTAAGATCAGGACAGAGAGCATCATACAGCTATATGAGTCAGTACGTACCTACATTGACCCAGTATCTCTCACAGATGAAAGAAAGCAATCAGACTCTTCCGTATCCCATACACCCATACCACCATACCGCCTACTTCACTGAGTAGATAGTTAAGAAAGAGAGCTTAAGGTGATAACATATCAAATTTTATATGTAAGGCGTTAGCTCCCCTCGCTTCGCTCGATATGAAAACCCCGGTAACCTGGTATTGGTAGTAGCATCAGTCTCTTTCCCCTCCCTCTGTATGAGTTGAGAGGCTGAGGGGAAGTCTACTAACTATAGGGCAACTCCACCTGACGATTGTTGTCTTCTTTCAATAATGCTTTGTTGGTCACCGCAGCGAGGCATCGCTGATAACATCGCCTGTTGTACAGTTGCTTTAGCCTAGGAGCCAACCTAGCTAAGGTTCACTCCTTTTTCATTTTATTTCCTTGAGAATGAAAAGTCCTCATCCTCACCCGCTGCAAGCACTTTTTCTTTGTTTGTTTGTTCTTTGTGCGAGTGAAGTCCTTCTCTGATTCATAGTGGGACCCGCTGTTCATTAATAGGGCTTCTTCCTTTTCTATCTATTAGGAACTGCTTGTAGAAGAAAGAAGATCAGGCAGTTTACTGCTAAATGGGGCTAGGAACTCCTATCCCTCATAGCCCAAGGAAGGGAAGGGCAGTAGCTTGATTACTTGACTGCCAGTTCCAATGTCACCTCGTTCTATCTATCTTCCATCCGTTACCTTGTTCTTCTTGCCACTGGGGCTTCAACCTTTCCATCATTTCCTGCGATCGAGCTAGCTTAACATCCTTCTTAAATTAAAGCATGATGCTGCTATTCTGCTCGGCGCATTTCTTAGGGATTTTCCCTTGGTCAAGTAAAGGACCAGGTACTTGAGTACAGAGGTCTTACATAGCTCCGTGACCACAGACTGAATCATGAGCTAGGAGGAGTACGAGTGATTAGCAGGAATCTTCGATTGCTCGTTCGCTAAAGTCCTGCTATACGCAATTCAAGCTGCCTGTTGATTCAGTACGTTCCTATCCCGTCATTTGGGGAGTTTGATCAATCTTCCTCACCCCTATAAGCACTCTACCTGGCATCCTTCCTTCTTCGTGAGTTCGTATGAAACTGGTGACTAAGCCTTTTCCTTCTGCCTTTGCTACCGCCGCCTTCTAAAGAATTTAATCCTTAAGCTGGATAGCCTAAAGGTTAGGCTTAGTTAGTTAAGAGTAATCCCCCCCTTGCCTTTGTTTGAGAGCAGTCCAATACCAGTTGATTCATTAGCAATGGTAGCAGGAAAAAATCCACTATGCTTTGAGCCAGTTATTCATTCGTTAAGGCTTTTTGCCGGCTCAGATGCTAAGATAGGAAGCACTTCTTTTCCATCGGGTGTGACTGAACTACCTTCCCAGAACCCAGAGCATAGCCTTAGACTGATTTGATTCGTCTACCCTTCGTGCCTTCCCTTCTCTTCTTGCCTGGGATAAGTTGAATCTAGCTAATTCGATTTGATCCGATCATCTCTTTCAATCACTGAACACCAACCAAAAGAGGCACTCGCGGCACTAAAACTATATTAAACCTTCTACGCCGCCTCCCATCTCAGGAGGACTTGCTTCTTAGTGCTCCGTTGGACGGGGACTCCTTCTTCGTTTGAATGCTTTGATGCTGTTAATTTCGCCATGATCTACTATTTATAGACAGACGATAGCACCGAAGAAAACCGAGTAAGGTCGACTAAAGAGTATTGACTCTATTACTGCCAAGGAATAGAGGGATTTTTCAACCGGGAGCTGATACGCCCTTCATTGCTAGTAGTGCACTCAATTCGCCAAGGAGCGGGGGAAGAAGAGCTTATTCTTATTCAATACTAGCTGACCCAGCCTATCCATCTCAGTTGGCAAGTCGCATCCCGTGCTTGGGTACGAAAGTAGGCGAACTGATTGATAGATATTCTTCGGATTTGCTGCCTCTACGCCCCTTCTGTTCTTCAGGAAACCTATTTTAGTTCTTCCTACCACCGGGAAGGTTGGATATCTAAAATAGTGCATCTCCTATTATGATTATGATTTGGGATCGGGTAAAGTTAAATATCTTATCACTCTGAATCAGGCCTTTTTTGAATATGGATATCTTTCGATGAGCTCAGATTTAGACATCGCTCTGAGTTTTGACCCCTAGACTGGAACCTAAGTAGCTCATGGTTGAGAAAACCGGTCCTATCTTGAGGAAGCAGGATAGGAAGATGCCCGAAGTGAGATAAACAGCCTAGCAAACTCTTTCTATCTAAGAGCCTTTCTCTCCGCTTTTTCTTGAGTGGAGTATGTATGCTTAAAACACAGGATTTGAATCGGGTTTTGGGCGAGACTGCACCATCAAGATCAAAATTGGGGGTCATCACCTCTGTAGTGTTGTGAGCTAGGTCTCTGGAGTCACTCTGCCTGGATACTCCTCAAGGCCTCAGTTGATTGGCAAGCTGGCTGACCGTTCCCTCTCTACCTGCTTTATCTCGAGAGCATGGAGCTTTCGGTCTTAGTTTCCTCATCTCCTTCTCCCTTATCCTTCCGCCACTGGCTCAACGAATTCTAGTAATTTGTTCTAACCCAAGTGTGGACTCGTTCCTAACGCCATAACAATTATATTCCTTTCTTTCTCCTCGTACAAGCAATCTACCCCTATGTCTGTCTGTACAAATGGCCCTAACATTGCGTTCTAAGCGCCAATCTCGATTCTCCTCGCAGTTCTCCCCTTTAACCTCTAATCAAAAGTCTAGCTGTCTGCCTCTTTGTCGTACTAGGGGCTATATTCTTACCATAAATAAATCTTATTTTCATAAATCAGTCTCATGTCTCCATCTATCTCCTCGCAGTGTCCTTTCTACCCTCAAACCTAAGGCTCGGTCAGTTCACCTCTTAGTAGGACTTGTGATTGGGCAAGTAAGGTCTAATAGCCGCTACTGGAAGTTCTTTGTCCTTTCAGCAAGTCTCCGGTCAAAAAAAGTCCCAATGGGCTCTATCTCACCACCTCCTCCCTCCCTACTGCCAGTCGCGTAGGAGTAGTCTGGGAACCTTCAAAAACCTTCCCCTCCAGTCCGTCCTACCGTTACTCATTTCCCTAAAATGTTCAGATTCCACCTCTGTCACTGCGTACGTTTCCAATTTATTGGCACTGGTTGGTCTCCTGCTATATCCGCTTCCTTTAGTCTTCGCCTTTAGATAAGATAACAAAAAGTGTCCGTTTATTTAGGCATCTTAACTATTCAAAAGCTTCCTTCTCCTTGCTATGGTTACGACAATCTTAGGGGTCAAGCTTCACGGCGTACGTCCGTCTAATCCATGTATGTCTAACGCCATTTGCTGCTCCAAGTAGGGGGGCAAAGCAGGTCCTATGGTTAGTGGCTTAGGGGCATTCTTTTTTTCATAATTGGGCTTAATAAACTTTAACAAACTTCCAGATCTGTTACGCGATTGCTGTTCAGCCGGGCCGGAACTCTTGGTCCGAGGAAGGGGCCGACTTCTTCTCGCTCCTCTCCTTTCAGTCGAGTGGCTATCGCTCCTCTTTTGGCTTAAGAAAGATGGGGTGAGAATGAGGATCACTTCGGAACTCTAGGAAAATGGGCGTTTTAGGGCGGGATCTAAAAGTTCTCGTGTTGGTTGCGGAGCCTTCAAAAAGGCCGTGAGAGGGTCTTTTTTTGGCTTCCTCAGGGCCGTGTGAAGCTTAGCTTGCTTTAGCAGCCACGTGATGATTCAAGATTCGTGGTAGGCGTAGGAGCTGGGCGAGGCGGTAGCGAAGCTCAGGTGGTGATGCAAGTGCGCGGTGAGCGTAGTAGCCCCTCGGGCATGCTCTTTGTACAACCAAGCGAAGAGCTAGTGAGGGCCGGAATGGAATATCGTATGTAGTGTAGAATCGGATCTGAAGCTCTTTACTAGGATTGGAACAAGCGAGGAACGAGTGACCACAAGCTCCGGCGCTCGACATGCAGTTAGCTTAAAACATGTTCATCATGTGCAAAGAAAGAGGAAAGGGGCGAAGCGCACCTGCGTGAAGCAGCCTAGCATCACTTTAGATAGGAGCAGAATGGATGACTGACAACTGAAAGTTCTTCGGATCGATATCTCGTACGACGTAATGGAGATCTTGGTCTAGGTCCGGTGGTTCGCAGAATTCGGGACCTAACGATGTTCGATTCGTCACATGAACGGGAGCGGACGATTCCCTCGTCTCTCCCGTTCATGTTTCGGGGAATGGCTGCAATCACAAGCAAGTGATTGAATGAGTGGGGGGCTCCGAAAGCACATGCGGGATAAGCAGGTCTTTCAGGAGACGGTCTAAGGGTCCGGTCTAGAAAGAAAAGAGAACTCTCAACAAGCTGGAACTAATCAAGATCAATAGGAAGAGGAGTTAGCTATAAATGAATTTTTTGACAAAGTTCATGCCACGACGATCTATACTATATGGAAGGGCTTGTTGATGCATTCCTGTTGAAGTTGAAAAAGAGACAAACATGAGTCTTTCATTCCTCCTCCCGGATCTGCTTGGATTATCTTATAATAAAATAAGAGGAGTTAGCTATTCTTAGGAAATGACTGAACTTAAAAGAAAGATGCCACCCCCTTTCATTAGGAGGCGAGGGAGTAACTTGTCTGATCTTGCGGTGCACTCACTCCCGTTACGAGAATGAAATGACGCCCCAGCTCGACTCGAGACCAAGACTCCTTACAACTCGCACCAATAGTGAGCGGCCGGAGATTGATTGAAAAGGCAGCCGCCCCTCCCCCCTAGCCGCCTACCTACTCGTGCTCGTAGCTCGATCGGAGGTGAAGACTTTTGTCCGGCGGAAAAAGAGAAGTCGTCCGTCTCAAGTGATACGTTAATTGCTCAGTAGTGCTTCGCCACTACCGTAGCTGGCGGAAATAGCTTAATGGTAGAGCATAGCCTTGCCAAGGCTGAGGTTGAGGGTTCAAGTCCCTCCTTCCGCTCTTGGCTTCGTCGTTTAGTGGTAACGAGTAGAGTAGGCATCGCCTCTCGATCCAATCCGTCTTTCCCTGGCCTCCCCAACACACTCTTGATACGAAAGAAACCTCCCGCCAATCGGAATCGGATTCGGAAAGAGAAGAAAGAGATCTAAAGTCTGGGCATCATCCCCTCGATCACCCTTCCCTTGAACCGGAACTGGTCGAGAGAGATGAACCCGCACCACATTTTATAACCTTCGAACCGAAAGCCCCAACTAGAGATGGAATTCCATAACCTAAAAAAGTAAATTGAGAGCTCCCGGTTCAATTCAAGGGAAGGTCCACCAATAATGGAAAGGCCATTCCCCTCCCTATCCCTTTCTTGATCCCTCATTCCACGAATTAGTTTTTACTGATTCATTCAAGGACTGAAAGCTTTTCGTTTTATGAAAAGGCATAGACTCCCCACTTCTTTGTCTTATTAGCGCAGGTGTTCGTCAACGATGAAAGCCGCTGAACTTAAGATAAGACTCGAGTTGAGAAAGAGGGCTAGGCCAAGGATAGGAGGGCTTTCAGGGACTGGGGAGGGTGGATTATAGAGCTAGGGGCGGATCAGAGGTTTGTCCATTGGGATTGGGCATGGACGAGCCTCGACTGGGCCAGCATTGATGAAAAAAAAAACTTCTCCCATCGCATCATTAACCGGTGTAGGATTAAAGATCAGGTCCAGGATTCGAGTCAAATCGACCTTCCCTCTCATCTCAGGGTGAGGCAAGGTAGCTTGCTCAAATGTTCGTTGTTCAATATCTCGGCTGCTCAATTGGACTAGCTGCTCCCATTCCTCAAATAAACGACGGAGTGGACTCCCTTCTAGGGGAAGGGCAGAGCCTCACCTTGCAGTAGGAAGGTTTTCGTTGCTGGGACGGGTTCAGAAGGGAGGAGGAATGAAAGACTCCGATCTTACTGGGGATTCATCACTGGCTAGGGCTTTCTAATCAAAGCATGGGCATCTGCAACTAAGAGGGAACAGTAGATCGTCGATGGAAGAGCCAGGTCAGTCAACTTCTATTGGGACTTCTATTGATTATTGATTCGACTAGAGGGACTCCTAGCAAGAAACTTGTATGACGGGGCCCCATGGAGACGCAGGAGATGCAGGAGTGAGATAAACAGCCGGATCGACCAAAAAATGATAGGCCAGAGGGATGGGCTCATTCGACTAATTAGTGATCCCTGGCCCTACCTAACAAAGAGATGTCCCTAAAAAAAAATAAGAGGGATTGGTTGATCGGAAAGCTCGGGCAGGAGTAGGACATTCCATAAAAATCTTTCTGATCCGCTAGCTCTCACTCCTTGCCCTATTCGGTCAAGCAGCTTAACTCCTCTCACTATTTTTTCATCGACAGGTAGGGTGAATTCTAAGGTTCCTTATTCCGGTTCCGGTTGTAAAGCGGAACCGGAAGAAGAGGGAGAAAGAATGGGCACAGCCCCACCAGCAGCCCGCGTTTTCGACCCGAAAGGAATTGAAAATGAAACAAGAATCTGTGTTCACTATCTATGGAGCGGAGTGACTATCCTGAATCTCCTCTTCCCTATCTCCCCCTTGCCTTTTTTTCTTTTTCTCGCCGGCAGGTAGTTGACTTGCTTACTTGTTAGAGTAAGGAGAATCCATTTATTTATTTCTGATTGATCTGTAGTTCAAGGGCACTCTTCCTAATCCGAGTTTAAGATGGAATAAGACCCAGACGTAGAGTCCCGTCGGCCGGTAAGGGATTTTTTCTATTGATTTTTGATTCCCTTCAGTCCTTACCTTTAAATAAGGGATTCTTCTCTTTCCCCACGAGGTCTTCAAGCCAGATGGAGTAGTGCATCTCTGTCTTGAAAGCCCGCCCTACAGATAGGAGTTCCTATCTCTACTGCCTATCCAACCCGAAGATTCTTATTCGTGGTGGAGTGCTTCGAGTAGGATCCGACCCCATCCCAGCAGTCAAAGTCCTTCCTGACCCGGCTCACCTGCCTCTGAAGCTTGAATGCCTTTATAGAGGAGGCTACCCGAGGAATCGATAAGTTTGAAGTGGGGATGTGGAATGTGATTGGTGATGGATGGTGGTTATTAAATAAGTTCTGCATCAGATGATGAGCCCGTGCGAAAACTTTTTCTTTTATTGGCGCCCGATAGGTAGGCTATTCGATTGAGTCGAAAGCCTACCAACGCACGCATAAGGTTCCGCGATTCGAGCGAGAGCCCAAACGGGGGAGGCGAGACATCTTGATCGAAAGCTCCACTTTTCTGAATAATGAGCAAGAAAAAAATTCGATAAAATCGATCGAGAATCTTATCATCTGTTAGGTAGGCCACCGACCTAGTTTTGTTGGGCTGGGCGTCCATGTCACAGAACCTTTCTTCTAGCCAAGAATCCCATTATTGATCGAATCGGGGCGGATCTTCCTCTCGCAAGCCTTTGGATTCACCATCCTAACGAGCTCTTTTTTTTTTTTCCATACAGTAGCTAGTCTAGTAAAGCATAGATGGTTCCCCAAGGGCTCAGCCTTTGATTACAGTATAGCTTAGCTCATAGCTCCTCACATTGTAAGGAGGCTATGAGCTAAGCTATACTTGTAATCAAAGGCTGAGCCCTTGGGGAACCATCTAATGCTTTACTAGACTAGCTACTGTATGGAAAAAAAAAAAGAGCTCGTTAGGATGGTGAATCCAAAGGCTTGCGAGAGGAAGATCCGCCCCGATTCGATCAATCATGGGATTCTTGGCTAGAAGAAAGGTTCTGTGACATGGACGCCCAGCCCAACAAAACTAGGTCGGTTGGCCTACCTAACAGATGATAAGATTCTCGATCGATTTTATCGAATTTTTTTCTTTCTCATTATTCAGAAAAGTGGAGCTTTCGATCAAGATGTTCTCGCCTCCCCCGTTTGGGCTCTCGCTCGAATCGCGGAACCTTTTATGCGTGCGTTGGTAGGCTTTTCGACTCAATCGAATAGCCTACCTATCGGGGCGCCAATAAAAGAAAAAGTTTTCGCACGGGCTCATCATCTGATGCAGAACTTATTTAATAACCACCATCCATCACCAATCACATTCCACATCCCACTTCAAACTTATCGATTCCTCGGGTAGCCTCCTCTATAAAGGCATTCAAGCTTCAGAGGCAGGTGAGCCGGGTCAGGAAGGACCTTTGACTGCTGGGATGGGGTCGGATCCTACTCGAAGCACTCCACCACGAATAAGAATCTTCGGGTTGGATAGGCAGTAGAGATAGGGAACTCCTATCTGTAGGGCGGGCTTTCAAGACAGAGATGCCACTACTCCATCTGGCTTGAAGACCTCGTGGGGAAAGAGAAGAATCCCTTATTTAAAGGTAAGGACTGAAGGGAATCAAAAATCAATAGAAAAAATCCCTTACCGGCCGACGGGACTCTACGTCTGGGTCTTATTCCATCTTAAACTCGGATTAGGAAGAGTGCCCTTGAACTACAGATCAATCAGAAATAAATAAATGGATTCTCCTTACTCTAACAAGTAAGCAAGTCAACTACCTGCCGGCGAGAAAAAGAAAAAAAGGCAAGGGGGAGATAGGGAAGAGGAGATTCAGGATAGTCACTCCGCTCCATAGATAGTGAACACAGATTCTTGTTTCATTTTCAATTCCTTTCGGGTCGAAAACGCGGGCTGCTGGTGGGGCTGTGCCCATTCTTTCTCCCTCTTCTTCCGGTTCCGCTTTACAACCGGAACCGGATAAGGAACCTTAGAATTCACCCTACCTGTCGATGAAAAAATAGTGAGAGGAGTTAAGCTGCTTGACCGAATAGGGCAAGGAGTGAGAGCTAGCGGAATCAGAAAGATTTTATGGAATGTCCTACTCCTGCCCGAGCTTTCCGATCAACCAATCCCCTCTTATTTTTTTTTTAGGGACATCTCTTTGTTAGGTAGGGCCAGGGATCACTAATTAGTCGAATGAGCCCATCCCTCTGGCCTATCATTTTTTGGTCGATCCGGCTGTTTATCTCACTCCTGCATCTCCTGCGTCTCCATGGGGCCCCGTCATACAAGTTTCTTGCTAGGAGTCCCTCTAGTCGAATCAATAATCAATAGAAGTCCCAATAGAAGTTGACTGACCTGGCTCTTCCATCGACGATCTACTGTTCCCTCTTAGTTTGCAGATGCCCATGCTTTGATTAGAAAGCCCTAGCCAGTGATGAATCCCCAGTAAGATCGGAGTCTTTCATTCCTCCTCCCTTCTGAACCCGTCCCAGCAACGAAAACCTTCCTACTGCAAGGTGAGGCTCTGCCCTTCCCCTAGAAGGGAGTCCCACTCCGTCGTTTATTTGAGGAATGGGAGCAGCTAGTCCAATTGAGCAGCCGAGATATTGAAACAACGAACATTTGAGCAAGCTACCTTGCCTCACCCTGAGATGAGAGGGAAGGTCGATTTGACTCGAATCCTGGACCTGATCTTTAATCCTACACCGGTTAATGATGCGATGGGAGAAGTTTTTTTTTTCATCAATGCTGGCCCAGTCGAGGCTCGTCCATGCCCAATCCCAATGGACAAACCTCTGATCCGCCCCTAGCTCTATAATCCACCCTCCCCAGTCCCTGAAAGCCCTCCTATCCTTGGCCTAGCCCTCTTTCTCAACTCGAGTCTTATCTTAAGTTCAGCGGCTTTCATCGTTGACGAACACCTGCGCTAATAAGACAAGAAGTGGGGAGTCTATGCCTTTTCATAAAACGAAAAGCTTTCAGTCCTTGAATGAATCAGTAAAAACTAATTCGTGGAATGAGGGATCAAGAAAGGGATAGGGAGGGGAATGGCCTTTCCATTATTGGTGGACCTTCCCTTGAATTGAACCGGGAGCTCTCAATTTACTTTTTTAGGTTATGGAATTCCATCTCTAGTTGGGGCTTTCGGTTCGAAGGTTATAAAATGTGGTGCGGGTTCATCTCTCTCGACCAGTTCCGGTTCAAGGGAAGGGTGATCGAGGGGATGATGCCCAGACTTTAGATCTCTTTCTTCTCTTTCCGAATCCGATTCCGATTGGCGGGAGGTTTCTTTCGTATCAAGAGTGTGTTGGGGAGGCCAGGGAAAGACGGATTGGATCGAGAGGCGATGCCTACTCTACTCGTTACCACTAAACGACGAAGCCAAGAGCGGAAGGAGGGACTTGAACCCTCAACCTCAGCCTTGGCAAGGCTATGCTCTACCATTAAGCTATTTCCGCCAGCTACGGTAGTGGCGAAGCACTACTGAGCAATTAACGTATCACTTGAGACGGACGACTTCTCTTTTTCCGCCGGACAAAAGTCTTCACCTCCGATCGAGCTACGAGCACGAGTAGGTAGGCGGCTAGGGGGGAGGGGCGGCTGCCTTTTCAATCAATCTCCGGCCGCTCACTATTGGTGCGAGTTGTAAGGAGTCTTGGTCTCGAGTCGAGCTGGGGCGTCATTTCATTCTCGTAACGGGAGTGAGTGCACCGCAAGATCAGACAAGTTACTCCCTCGCCTCCTAATGAAAGGGGGTGGCATCTTTCTTTTAAGTTCAGTCATTTCCTAAGAATAGCTAACTCCTCTTATTTTATTATAAGATAATCCAAGCAGATCCGGGAGGAGGAATGAAAGACTCATGTTTGTCTCTTTTTCAACTTCAACAGGAATGCATCAAACAAGCCCTTCCATATAGTATAGATCGTCGTGGCATGAACTTTGTCAAAAAATTCATTTATAGCTAACTCCTCTTCCTATTGATCTTGATTAGTTCCAGCTTGTTGAGAGTTCTCTTTTCTTTCTAGACCGGACCCTTAGACCGTCTCCTGAAAGACCTGCTTATCCCGCATGTGCTTTCGGAGCCCCCCACTCATTCAATCACTTGCTTGTGATTGCAGCCATTCCCCGAAACATGAACGGGAGAGACGAGGGAATCGTCCGCTCCCGTTCATGTGACGAATCGAACATCGTTAGGTCCCGAATTCTGCGAACCACCGGACCCTAGACCAAGATCTCCATTACGTCGTACGAGATATCGATCCGAAGAACTTTCAGTTGTCAGTCATCCATTCTGCTCCTATCTAAAGTGATGCTAGGCTGCTTCACGCAGGTGCGCTTCGCCCCTTTCCTCTTTCTTTGCACATGATGAACATGTTTTAAGCTAACTGCATGTCGAGCGCCGGAGCTTGTGGTCACTCGTTCCTCGCTTGTTCCAATCCTAGTAAAGAGCTTCAGATCCGATTCTACACTACATACGATATTCCATTCCGGCCCTCACTAGCTCTTCGCTTGGTTGTACAAAGAGCATGCCCGAGGGGCTACTACGCTCACCGCGCACTTGCATCACCACCTGAGCTTCGCTACCGCCTCGCCCAGCTCCTACGCCTACCACGAATCTTGAATCATCACGTGGCTGCTAAAGCAAGCTAAGCTTCACACGGCCCTGAGGAAGCCAAAAAAAGACCCTCTCACGGCCTTTTTGAAGGCTCCGCAACCAACACGAGAACTTTTAGATCCCGCCCTAAAACGCCCATTTTCCTAGAGTTCCGAAGTGATCCTCATTCTCACCCCATCTTTCTTAAGCCAAAAGAGGAGCGATAGCCACTCGACTGAAAGGAGAGGAGCGAGAAGAAAGTCGGCCCCTTCCTCGGACCAAGAGTTCCGGCCCGGCTGAACAGCAATCGCGTAACAGATCTGGAAGTTTGTTAAAGTTTATTAAGCCCAATTATGAAAAAAAGAATGCCCCTAAGCCACTAACCATAGGACCTGCTTTGCCCCCCTACTTGGAGCAGCAAATGGCGTTAGACATACATGGATTAGACGGACGTACGCCGTGAAGCTTGACCCCTAAGATTGTCGTAACCATAGCAAGGAGAAGGAAGCTTTTGAATAGTTAAGATGCCTAAATAAACGGACACTTTTTGTTATCTTATCTAAAGGCGAAGACTAAAGGAAGCGGATATAGCAGGAGACCAACCAGTGCCAATAAATTGGAAACGTACGCAGTGGACAGAGGTGGAATCTGAACATTTTAGGGAAATGAGTAACGGTAGGACGGACTGGAGGGGAAGGTTTTTGAAGGTTCCCAGACTACTCCTACGCGACTGGCAGTAGGGAGGGAGGAGGTGGTGAGATAGAGCCCATTGGGACTTTTTTTGACCGGAGACTTGCTGAAAGGACAAAGAACTTCCAGTAGCGGCTATTAGACCTTACTTGCCCAATCACAAGTCCTACTAAGAGGTGAACTGACCGAGCCTTAGGTTTGAGGGTAGAAAG